GGTTTGACATTATTATTTCCACACTTTTGGTTTAGATGAATTTTAATAGTATCCATGTTACACATATTGGTGAAAACAATGAAGTTTTTATTTTATTTTTGGGATTCTTTCTATACGTGTGAGTATTTATAACAGACAATTCCTAAATTTTGTGAAATTAAATGATATTTGGTTCTCTGAAAAGTCATGGCATGTTGAGCTTACAACTTAGAATGGTGCACCTAGAGATAAGAATTAAGTTTTGTATTATATTTCGCTTATTAAGTTTTATTTTGAAATTTTGTTCTTCTGTTAAACTACCAAGCTTAAGTCTTTATCCATTAATTTTAACAGGCAATTTCTTTTCTTAGACTAAGTTTTTCATCTGAAAATAGAGAACAGTTGTTGCGAAAGCCTTTGATTATTTCTGGAGGTTATTGATGGATGATTTGGGTCGGGTTGATGGATGTTATGTATCTAGATTACTTATTTCAAAGTTTCTTGTTGAGCTACATCAGCAATTGTAGTTTCCGAGTCCAGCAACAAAATCATCATGTGGTTGCTAGTTCCATTTGATGAAGTTTGTGTTCGAAAACAATTATAATATAACCAAATAACAGAATAATAACAAATGAAATATGCTTTATATACAGGGACGGTCCCTAGAAGGGACTAACCTGAGCTATAGCCCAAGTGAGTTGTTATTTTATCAACCTAAAATTTAATTTAGCCTACTCATGCCTACTAATGACAATCATGTCACGCTTACATCCAAAGACTCACAAGTTCATCGCTCATCCAACAATACACTCAAGGAAAAGAAGATGAGACAAACTAATGAATTGAATTCTCTTTGACTATTCCATGACATTTTTGTGTAGAACATCTCTATAAAGTTCTCTCTAAAATGAAAAGTCTTTCTGTCTTGTTATTACTTTTTTAGCCTACTGCCAACTTCTTTATATATATATTATGAATAGTCTATTGCTAATTTTCTTTTCACTGATAACCCTCTTCACTTCACATATTATCCCCTTAAGTGAAAAAATTAAATAAATAAATAAACGAATTGGTATGTTGCAGTAGCTACACCTTTATGTTCCTCTCTTTGGTGCGTATATAAAGTAAATTTAGCCCACTCCATTTTAAAATCCTAGATCCATCCATGCTTATATATATAATCAAATAATAATCTCACTTCTTTTGGAACGTATAAACTATAATGCAAGGCCGGTTAAAATTTTATAACATATATAATATCCTGGCCAGTCCAAAGGGTAGTACGGTGGTAGAAAGGAAGGACCGCATTACATGGCCCAATTTATTGCCATCCCATGGACATATATACAGCCAGACAGAGCTTTATAGAAATTATTAGCATGGAGGCATTCCTGGTGGCGGAGCTAAAATTTGGGCTCCTAGACCCTCTCCATTTTTCACAATGAACGTCACGTCCATGCCCCATGACATATGCCGATCCAGATGGCAGTGCATAAACCAAACTCCTGTGATCAACCAAAAGTCATTGACATCAAATGATCAGCATCATCCATCATCATTCATTATAACTTGATTAATTCAGAAGTTAACCAAACCAGAGGAACGTCTTACCAGGATTGTCTGCCTTGAATCTAATGGCAGTCCAGCCATTTACAGGGACAGCGATGGTGTTTTGAAGAGGAGGGTCAACAAGATTATATTTCAAAGGGTCCTTATCCTCGTCAAAATTCCCAAGTCCCCATCCAACAACATAGAAACTGAATCCATGGAGATGCATTGGGTGGTCATCCCCTGCAACCAAATTTGTCCCCTGAAACACAATCTCCACCGTTGCGTTGTACTCCAGTATCTTCACTTCCGTCCCCTGTTTCGGGGTCTGTAAGTACAATGGCAAGTCCTGAGCCGTGAAATTAAACAGAAAAGGTGGGAAATTCGGAAATCGAGTTCCAAATGCCCCATTGACATGGTAATAGTAAGCCTGCAATATGTCAATGCTGGGGTCGACAAAGCTAATGTTGTTGACGCTAGCGGCCAGACGTGTCCCATTAGGCCCTGCACATGAATTATTTAGGCATGGTATTGTGTTGACGGAAAGTGTGTAAAACAATGGAGTTGTTATGTTGCGCGGCACGTCAACGGGGTGGTTTTTATCAGCAAGACTTCTGAGACTACCAGTAAAATGAACCGATGCTTTGGTGTCGTTATGGGAAGGAAGATTAGGCAAGGAAGGGGTTGAAGTTGAGGTATAATTTCCATTGTATTGTAGTATGGCGGTGGTGGTTGTGTTGTCATAAAGAATCCCAGCCCCACCAACGTAGGCTTTAGCAGCAATGTAGTAGTTGTTGGGGCTCTGGTCAGCAGTGAACAAGAGGTCAATGGTTTGGCCGGGTGATATTGTGACATAATCTGATGAAAATGGCTTGGTGTAGCTAGCATCTGAGCCCACAACCGTGACCTTGTGATTGGCAATCGAGAAAAACAGAATCTCTTGCACAGCTGAATTGATTAGCCTTAGCAGGTAGGTCTTCCCATAATCAACCATCAGCTTGAATGTGTCTGGTTTTGAGCAAGGATAAAGATCGCCAGGTTGACCATTGATGAGGAAAGCATTGGAAATGTTAGGGTCCCCTCCACTTTGAATAGTTTCATTATAAAGCTGTCCTATATCTTCCTTCCACCACTCCCCTACAATTTTCAAGTCAATTTGTTGAACATGTATATATCCAATAACATTATATTATTGTCGAATTAATTTTGCATTACGTACCTAAGATGATTGGAAAATCTGCATGAGGCTTGGGGAAAGGGTAAGTGGTTCCTTTCTTGGGGTAGATGACTATAGCGCCGTGGACGGTGGCTCGATCCCACTCACTATGAGCATGCCACCATAGGGTGCCTTCCTCTGAGGAAAATATGATGGTTTGGGTAAAGCTGCCTCCTGGTTGGATTGGGCACTGCGTGATATAATCAGGACCGTCCGACCATGGATTCCTTGGTTGCTTAACTCCATGCCTGATATGAAATCCTTTAATTATATATCACAAGTCACAATTACATAAAAATAATATATTTAAATAAATAAATAAATGAATATTACCAGTGGATAGTAATGTTACGATTGCCCTTGTTATAGACATCGACGATGATAGTATCTCCCGTGTGAGCATACAGTATTGGTCCAGGAAACTGGCCGTTTACAGTCAATATGTTCTTTGTGCTACAGAGTCTTCTGTATGGAGTTTCATCCACCTACGATGTTTACAAAGATATCCTTCATTAGTTTTGTTTATTTCAAGCTCTGAATCAATCAACGAAATTTGAGCAACAACCAAAACCAAACAGTTTGGTTTTGGCCTCTGTATAATATTAATAGCATGTGAATCTTTTTACCATCCTCACCCCGGAAGGAAGAAAGAAAGAAACAAGTGTGGTAAATCAGAAAAAATACGTATTAAACAAAAGACACGATCATCACATCACATCACATCACATGTGATGTGAGAAGACAATGATAAAGCTCTGGTCCAATGAATTCTCAATTTGGGATCAAAGACAAACAACAAGAAGGCCATTGTTGCGGGTTATTGGGTTAGGTAACCAAACCAAAACACACGCCACCCCACCACTTTGGTCCAATGGCTGTGAGATCAACATCTTACACAATAAGGTCAAAGGAACTCACTCCCACCTGGAGGTGGCCGCCGCGGCTCTTGCATTTTGGTCTTATATATATCGTTCACACGTCACACCCTCAACTTTCGATTTAACCGTCACACATTATAACATGTGTTAATTAGTAAGAGCATCTCCAAAGGAGATGTCAAATATCAAACATCAAATTTAAATTTGATGGTTGATGTGGCAATTTGACATCTTACACAAGCTCTACACTCCACTCGATATGTCAAATTAAATTATTATTTTATTACATTTTAGTGTTGATTCATTTTTAATTAAAAAGAAAAGAAAAGACAAAATAATAAAATATTCATTTGACATCTTGCTTTTGGGATGTCAAAAATAACATCTCAACCTCTAGCCTTCATTTCACATCAGCTTTGACATATCGGTTGGAGTGATGTGAGATGTCATTTTTAGCTGTTAAATGTATATGTGGCACGTTTGACATATCGGTTGGAGATGCTCTAACAACACAACATAATTTAACTGCCACACGTATTATAATATGTGTAAATTAGTAACACAACATGATTAAGTGACCGTCACACGTATGTAATATGCCAAGAGTTAAGAAATGGGACCTATTATATGACATATATACGGGAACTATATATTAGTTTGATTTACGGTTCTTTTTTTAGTGTTTTAGAACACACCTATTTCCTTACACACAGTTGCATTCAACGGTCATTGGTTTGTCACTAACTCGCTAGAAAGATGTTCCTCCGTCTGCTATGTTTAGATTAGAAATTAGACAGGCCTTCCCAAGCTGAATCAGTGCATCGCTTTGCATAATCAAATTTTAGCATTGTTAATGTTCACAAAGAAACAAAAAAGAAAGAAAGAGCTATTGACGTGAGTCTCCTAATTAATCAAGGAGATTTATTTCCTTGATTAATTAAGGCATTTACTTTCTTATTTTATATAGTTGACAAATAATTGTATAATAAGAAGATATTATCCTAATTGATTACTGTATCTATTTCCTTGTAAAACATTGATGTAAATTCATATATATACCTCCTTATGGAGAAGAATAATAACATAAAATATTCAAACCATATTCATATTTTAGCATGGTATCAGAGTAATCAATCTTAGATTGTCTTTAAACCCTTATCTCAAATTTCTCACATTCAAATCCTAAATCCTAAATCAAATTCCTCATATTTTTCCCCAAATCCAAATCCCTCAAATCTAAAGTCCTCAAATCCCTAAACACATACCCTCAAATCTTATACACATACATCTCCAATCCAATTCCTACATCAAATTCCTCAAATCAAATTCCTCCAATCAAAATTCCTCACATTCTCATATCACATCTTACTTCTACTACAATGTCAGGAACCCCTACGATTCTCTCTCTTATTGCAGACTCACAGAAGCATGCGGTCAATCCTGCTGACTCAGCTACCCAGCCTCATGCTTCTATCACCACCACCAACGGTTCTGCTTTTCATACATCCTCTCAAAAATCTGCATGGATTAATGATTCGGGTTCTACGAATCACATGACATTTGATCATGTCCAACTTATTAATCGCAAATCATCAACTCATTCGATGGTGTCTAATGCTAATGGTACCCCCTCCCTTGTGGTTGGTTAGGACTCTCTATCTCTCTCTACTTCCCTACATCTAGATTTTGTATTGCTTGTTCCATCTTTGGACCATAACTTGTTGTCTGTTGCACAACTTACTACTACTTTGGGGTGTACTGTAACATTTTGGCCAAATCATTGTGTTTTTAAGGACATCCTCCCAATTAAAATCATAATCACCACACCAAAGCTTTATAATGAATGAATGAACCACTATGTCTTACTAAAAGTCCCATTTGAAACCAAAAGAGCGACCATGAAACATGGAACGTGAAACCACCAATACTAAAAACTACTGAAGCCACAAATTGCAGTTTATTGGTGCCTTCCTTTTTCTCTTCCTTTAGTAATGATCCTTCATGTATGAAGAAAAAGGAAATGTATGTTTAAAAGCTACAAAGTTAAGATCCCCTAACACCAATTATCAGTCCTTATGGTTGTCACACAGCAACTAAAAGCTACACACAAACTGCAAACCTCAGAAGATTACCCTGTTGATGAGCATCAGACCGTGATCCCCTATGCCCTCCAGCTGTACTTGCGTCATCTTTTAAGTGTTGTTAGTATAAAAAGTAATGTCAAAACTGTTTAGTAAATTTTAATATAAAACCAGTGTAACTGTGGATAATGACTAAAATGGACATGATGTTGAAAGTGTTATGTGCTAACCATGTGGTGGTGGGACAGGGGGTATTGGTGGTGGTGATGGTAGTGGTGGAGGTGAAAATAAAGGTGAAGGTGGGTGATGGTGGAGGTGAGGCGGTGGTGATGGCAAATGTCATTTTAGAAATTAATGATGGTATTATGGGAATTGAAAAAAATTCATTAAATGCTCTTATCTGCTTCTTATGAAAGCAGCGTTGAAAAACAACCTAGATGTTGCTTTTAAAAGCTAATGTCAGAATATCATTGCTTTTAAAATAATCATGATATTTTATTTTGACCAAATACCTTAAAGTGCTTAACTTTAAAGTAAAGCAGTTTTTGGCAATAAAAAAGCAAACCCAAAAATGGAGGATGATACCCTAAAACTCGATAAATCATTCATCCTTCAAGATAGAGTTTACAGAAACTCAGGTAATGCATGCCAAGTGTTATGTGGTAATGTTTCTACCTTTTCTTTTCCCATAGGAAATTTGTCATGTTTGAAGTTATTATTTCCACACTTTTGGTTTAAATGAATTTTAATAGTATCCATGTTACACATATTGGTGAAAACGATGAAGTTTTTTTCATTTTTGGGATTCTTTCTATACATGTGAGTGTTTACTATAGACGACTCCTAAATTTGTGAAATCAAATGACATTTGGTTCTTTGGAAAGTCATGGCATGTTGAGCTTAGAACTTAGACCGGTTCACCTAAAGATAAGAATTAAGTTATGTATTATATTTTCTATAGCGCGAGTGTTTATGACAGACGATTCCTAAATTTGTGAAATCAAATGACATTTGGTTCTCTGAAAAGTCATGGCATGTTGAGCTTAGAACTTAGACGGGTTCACCTAAAGATAAGAATTAAGTTTTGTATTATATTTTGCTTATTAAGTTTTATTTTGAAATTTTGTTCTTCTATTAATCTACCAAGCTTGAGTCTTTACCCATTAATTTTAACAGGCAATTTCTTTTCTTAGACTAAATTTTTCGTCTGAAAACAGGGAGCAGTCGTTGCGAAAGCCTTTGATTGTTTTTGGAGGTTATTGATGGATGATCCGGGTCGGGTTGATGGATGTTATGTATCTAGATTACTTATTTCAAAGTTTCTTGATTGAGCTACATCAGCAATTGTAGTTTCGAGTCCAACAGCAAAATCATCATGTGTTTGCTAGTTCCATCTGATGAAGTTTGTTATCCATCTTCCCTTTCTGAATTATCTTCTATTGTTTCGATTTTAAAGTATGCATTCTAATATTCTATATTGTTCATCTTCAGCCCTATCTATTTTTGTAATCAGCATGAACAATTTTGCTAGAAAATCTTCTGCTCTCTCTCTCTCTCTCTCTCTCTCTCTCTCTCTAGATGGTGAATTCTCTTGCAGAGTCAGCATTTCTTGTAAAAATGCAGACAACAATGACCCAACACCGTTGGATTAATCTAACCATTTCCAAGTAAGATACAAATATGCAGACAGCAATTATATCTAACCATGTGAGATAAAATAACCCACAGAAATAAATATTACATAAGCAAGCAGCATATAATTAATGGTAATACGTGGATCATTATGATAAACAAAAGTTTAACTCATATTATTACCACACTCACCAACAGAAAGGCTTATTGGACATAGCCAGAAAACCACACACCAACAACTAATACAATTTACAAGCATAAATATTCAGCCTGATCTTGAAGAATTAACATCACACAAGCCACCGCTGCCTTATTTAGAATCCCCCCTTTAGCATCAGCAAATCTTAAAAAAAAAAAAAAAAAAAAAAAAAAAAAAAAAAAAAAAAAAAAAACATTAGTTACAATGTGAGCAACTATGGAGAATTATGGAAGGAAATCAATAAAAGTGAGGTGTTTTTCATACTCACCCAAGCTCTGAGAGTTTCAAATGTGCTTCAGCATAATCCGCAAAGAAAGCGTCCTCGTCCTAGTTAAAGCAAAATCACCACAACCGAAAACGGGATCAAATTAACATCAAGACATAAAAAGAGTATAGCTAAGCTATAATTTAGTGATCATATTAAGTATAAAGCAGGATCAGATACAAACCGAGGCATAGGTCTCGACAAGAGGACGAAAGACTGGATCCTCCAGAAGAGCCTTGTCTGATGGCAGCTGGATAAGGCCTTCTTTCTCTCCACTAAGAAGTTCCCTGTTTGGGAAACAAATCAGATTAACTATCTAGAACGTGGTATAAATTCAACAGTGTTATTATTGAAGAAGATGAATAGGTCTTTACTTGAAATAGGAGTTGTCAAAAATGAGAGGGTTGGTTGTCCAGGGTCCCTCAAATCCAGAACGTTCCTTGTGGCACCTACCCTGAAAACAGAATTCCCAAACACACAATATTTAAAATGCTAAACTCTACCAGTCAATGAAACAAACAGAAGAGTTTTGATGGTATTGCATGAACTGACCAATGTGTGTCCACCGGATAATACAACAATATCCTTGTCACTAAGACCCATGTGACCAAAGACATCCCTCAAATGATCCGAACCTAAAAGGAACAACACAAAGAAAAATTAAGCACATTCATCTTACAACCATACACTAGTTGCAAAATCTGGGCGCTAACTTACCTTTGGAGCCATCCGGCAAGCGACCTTCCGGTGGCGGTTCTTGTTTGTCCTGAAATTAGTACATGACTTGAACCAATGAGTACAAGTTTAAAAAAGGTCACATTTTAAAACAATCTTGCCATGCCTGCATTGTTTGAGAGCCGAGAAAGGCACTCTAAACAATCAATATCATCACATATTGTATTGTCAATGTCAATAACCTAAAAAACCACCAAATCAATCAAGTTTCGTTAGACCAAGCTATTTGATCCTATATAATTTCCAATTATTCGACAACACAAGGCTAATTAAAAAAAGGACAAACAAATGTGAACTACATGTACTATAGGAAATAGGTTTTGAGCATATAATAAAGGAAACCTCGAGACAAATCACAGTATGACATGCTTGTATAAACTTTCAATTTATATAATTTTAATGAGTTACTTTTGTGTATGTTTTATATTGTGATTTGAACGACAAGAAATGGGCCAGTAATTGAAAATAGGCCAAGAAGGCACTTACCGGTCTACCAGGGTGGAAAGGAACATCAGGCCCCCCGGTAATTTCCACAGCAACAACTCCGGCCAACTTCAAAACACAATCAAATAAAAACTCACAACATCAATCTACAAATTCAAACTAAATACCAAAACCAAAACCCAAGCCAAATATTATCAACAAATATATATACCTGGTAGAAATCTGCGTATGAGAGAATCGGAAACTTCTCCTTGATCGGCTCCAAAAGCCTGACCGCAATATCCAGGCCATTGTTTGCTTCATGAGCAAGCTCCTCCGGGTGCCTGATGGTCCCGAACGGCCCTCCTGTCCTGCTTTGCACGTCGAAGGTACCAGCCGAGTGCCATCTGCGATCATCACCAAACATCAAACACAAAGCAAACACCAATCGTTACCAACAGATGGAGCTCTCAGATCATTAAGTATATGGCAGAGAGAGTTCTTGATTCTTACGCTAATCGGAGAATTATAGGAGCGCAGTGCTTTTCAGCGATGTGTCCTCGGAGCTTTCTCTTGCATTTATCCACTGCCTTCTGATATTCCTCGCTCACAGTCGGGTAGCATTTCGCCATGGCGACAATTGATCTGTTCCACCCTCTGTGTGGTTAGTGAGAAAATTAGTATATGAAATTGAAGAGAAGGAAAAGTTTTTCCTTACACGATCGAAGTTGCTAGAAACAGTTGAAGCTTGCTTGAAATGGTCGAAGTTATCAGTACAAACTGCAGAGCACAGAAGCAGGGGAAATTGTATATATAGGAAGCGTATTCTGTTTCGGGACGAAGGTTCTAGCGCTCTCGTTTTAGTCTTCGGGTGCTAAACGTACGGCTAGGATCGTGCTTCGTCGGCGATGTGGGGTTGCGATGCTGTGTGCTTTATAAGCGGGAAAATGGGACTTGGAATTGTAGAGCCACGTGTCATACGGAGAGTGGTGCATGGTTGACTTGGCGGGGCTTCTTCTGTTGTTCAATCCCGTGGGTTGCTCCTAGCTTGGTACCGTCGTTTCGAGAAGAAACTTTGGCGTTGTGGCAAGTGTAGGGTTTGACTAAAATTGGATGGATCATTTTAGCGAGTTCTAGAGACCCTTTGTATTTAATTTCTGACCAAAAAGAAAAGGAGAAACCATTGTATTTAACAAATGGCTTAAATTAAATCTCTAAAATTGTAAACTAAACTAATAAAAATAAATAATAATAGCAGTTTTATAATTCTCTTGAACTGCAAATGAGGGTTAGGATAAATTACTAGATAGTACTGTATGGCATTTGTGAGATGATAATATAGATGAATAATACTAATAGAATGATACTTGGACCTCAATTACTAAGGAGAGAAGAACTAACGTTATATGTCAATGGACGTTAAGTCACTCGAAACTCTTTTCGCCCCTACTACCAGTTACCAAATGCCATGTGATTAGGATAGTGTGCCCGACTGGGCCATTGCACCTGAGTTCGATCATCTTTTCCATACATTAGACTAGTTTAGAATTTTGCTCTTGTGAAAAAAAAAGAAAAAAAAAAGAAGAAGCCCCATTTAAAGCAATTTTAATTGTGGGCTCGAAACCCAACTTGTGATATGTATACAAACGCAAAGCCAAGCCCAAAACCGATCCAATACTTTCAGTCAAAGCCCAGCCCAGAAACTATTGGTTGTTCGGGGTTAGGGCAAACATGTGTAAACGCGTGGTGGTATTGAAATTAGCGCGAAGTCCAAGGGCGTTAGGTGACACGTCATAGAGTCCCAGTGACACAGGTCATGAGACGCGCAAAAAGGCCACCAAAAAACGCTCGTTTCCACTTTGGCCTACACATCCAAACCCTCAAGCCCTGTTTTTCTCTCTCTCTATTTCGTCGTGCTTTATCCTATCCAGGGTTTCATCTCCACACTCTATTCGGTGCTTCTCTTTCCTCCTCCATCGCACACTGTAAGTCCTCTCTCGAATACCTCATGAGCAGAGTTGTTTGGATAATTTTTTAATTTTGCATAATACAATTGCAATGCCAATGCGCTATGATTTAGGTCTGCGGGTGCTGAATTTGTAATCGCTGTGGCGTTGTTTGTTTCTCAGGAAAATCATGAGTGACAAGGGAGAAAAAACGTGTCCAATTTGCGCTGAGGAGATGGATTTTACGGATCAGCAGCTGAAGCCGTGCAAATGTGGTTACGAGGTCTGAACGAACCAACACTAGCCTTGTTTACTTGGTCGTTTTGTTTGTTTGTGATTTCTGCTCTTGTGGCCATCATAAATTCATTGTTTCTGCTGCTGCTTCCTGTGTGAATGTGACAATGTGTGTAGTTACTCGCCCATTTAAGTGTAAAAACCTTTGATATAGAAAATTGGATAGAAGGATGTGAAAATGTGATGACATTGTAATTCATATAAATGAGGGTAAGTTTTTTTTTTGGGGATATTTTTCCATGGTAACTGTTCAAATTTTTTGGTAGTTCCCTGTGAGCTTACTCTTTGTGCCCTGCTTGATTCCCATTTACCGTCACAGGTGTGTGTTTGGTGTTGGCATCACATTATGGAAATGGCAGAGAAGGATGGAAAGGAGGGTCGTTGTCCAGTGTGCCGTACAACTTATGACAAAGAAAAAATTGTCGGAGTGGCAGCAAATTGTCAAAAGTTGGTACAGTTATTGGAAGAGTTTCTTGTTAATGTATAAAATTGTGTGACAAGTTGAGGATTAACTTTTCCCCTCCTTGAACAGGTTGGTGGCTGATATTAATCTGAAGCGGAAACAGAAAAAGCCCAAGGGACCTGAAGCAAAGAAGCAACTTACTGATGTTAGAGTTCTCCAACGGACCCTAGTATATGTGATTGGATTACCTCTTAACCTTGCAAATGAAGACGTGAGTAGCTAGTGTCTTACTGTGTGTCTCATTTTTGTTAGGTATCTAAGTGGAACCTAGTGCACAACTAATCTGATGTTTTATGGAACTTATATAAATCTGTACTTTTATTGATGTAGATTCTGAAATATGTTTTTGTGGGGTTTTACTAGCTTCTTAAGCGCAGGGAGTATTTTGGCCAGTATGGAAAGGTTTTGAAGATTTCTGTTTCTCGTACAGCAAATGGGGTTATTCAACAGTCTCCAAACAACGGTTGTTGTGTGTAAGCTGGCTTACTGCTTTCAGTGTCTTAAGTTTAAACCTGCTTGATGTGGAATGCACAGTATTTGGTTCACATTTTCTTTCGTGCCTATGTTTACTAGTCATTAATGATCCCTAATTTTACATAATTATATGCCATTTACAATTTTGATTGGGCTATAGGTGTCTTTCAAGGCTGTAAATGTTTGTCTCTTTATTAGGCATGGTAGCTGGTTATCAAGGCTATATATTTGTTTTTTTTTGTTTTTTGTTTTTTTGTTTTGGTTTTTTGGTAATAATGGACCATGGTTCCATTCCTTGTATTAGGTATATATCATACACAAAGGAATATGAAGCAGCTCGATGTATTCAATCAGTACACAGTTTTATGTTAGATGGTAAATCCTTGAGGTAAGCCTGCCTTGGTATCTATTAGGATTATAGTGCCTTGATTGCAGTTTTGTGGCTGAATGAGTTTTGCATTTTCAGGGCATGTTTTGGAACCACAAAGTACTGCCATGCGTGGTTGAAAAATGTAGTAAGTACTTAACTTATTTCATCTGGGTGAGTTCTTTGCACAAGAAAAACTTAGTTTTGTCATCACTAAGAAGAATTCTTTTGCTGGTTCAGCCTTGCAACAATCCAGATTGTTGGTATTTGCATGATTTTGGCTCTCAGGAAGATAGTTTTACCAAGGATGGATTAGTTTCAGCCTTTGAAAGGTATATAAAAGGAGCAATCTCACATGCCTTCTGTGCATTTGAAATATGCATTAAATGTTGTTTTTATTTTTTTACTGTTTGGGCAATCTCACTTGTGACTTGGCCCTTATCTCTTTGGTAAATATCATATTGTAGTTTATATCTTAAACTCTACTGTTTCGCAGGAGTAAAGATCATCAAAATATTGGTGTTACAAATAATCTGCATCGGCGTCCGGGGAAAGGTTTACCTCCCCCGATGGATGAGTATAGCAAATGTGAAAGATCAACAGAAGCTAAACCACTTGTTAAACAACCATCAGATGTAAGGCTCTGCACATGTTTTGGTTTATTTGCTTAGGATAGATAATTATACTATAGTGGCAGAAAGGTGCAAGGTATTTTAAAATCAAATGAATGATGATCATTGAGATGGAAGTGTTATAGTCAATAAAATGCATGATTTATGCAGATAAGCTCTGGATGTTATCTATGCAGTGCACTTCAGTTATGTTTAACCTTTTACTTATCTTCTTTCAACAGATTGCTGGGAATGTGGTTAAGAGTTCTTGTGCAGATTCTGATTTTAGAAGATCTATTCCTGCAAGAGCACCTTGGTATCTAATTTTATGATCTGTGGTTTCATGCTTTTGATTGTGTGTTCAAGAACTAATGTCATCTTGGTTTCTCTATCAGGGTCATGGAAGTCTCCCCTAGTGTGCCCACAGCAACAAGTTCTCCAGGTTCCGAAAGGCTACCCCATCAAAATGCTGAGACATCTAATGATCTTCATCCCCTTTCATCCGAAGTTGTTAGGAATGAAAGTTCTACTCACAATGTAAGATCTATTATATCTGCAGAAGGCTGTAAAGGGCATTTTAATGGTTTGGATCCACTGGTACTGAATGAACAGAATATCAACAATAATGGTCAAGTAGCTGTATCAAATACTGCTTCAGAAGCTCTAGTAGATAGAACTTCCATAAAAGACTTAGGTTGTCTATTACCAAACAATGGTATTGGTCGAGGTATTAGAGCAACATCCACTGACTTAACAAGTAACAAAAACATATGTCATCCATCATCAAACTTGTCAAATAAATCCGTTGATAACAAAGGCAATAGCATCGGTGAATTTGATAGGACAGTTGAACCTACCAGTGTGTTACCCGAGATGGGATCAGGCAAGTACTTGGGAGGGTCTGACACCAATAAGCCCAGTATTGACTGCAGTCTTGCTTACGATATAGGAGAGAGTGGCATAATCTCAAATATTTTGGCAATGGACTTGGATGCACCTGAAGGCTCTCTATCTTCTTTTCACAATCTCATTAAGTTGTTGGGTGAAACTGATAAAGATTGCAGTCTCCTGAAAGTACAGAGTTCAAGAAAACTTCTTGATAAAAAGCAGTCCAGGTTCTCATTTGCCCAACAAGAGGACTCTTGCGATAATGTATGGCATGCATCAAATGACTACTCTGCATTATCTGATTTGATGGACAAGAAGGATTCCTTCGTAGATCTTGAATCTAATAAATTTATCAGGATTCCTTCATATGCGTCTTCTAAAATTCCAGGTTTGTAACTTTTAATAAGTTATTGTAATGATGTTTTCTCTCTGGCTCTTTTTTCACTCTTCACTTGTTTATTTGTTATAGGCTAAACAGCAGGTAGAATCTGCGTTTTGGTAGTTCATGATTTGTCATTTCTCTTGAATCTTGATCACAAATTTTCACTAGGCATAGCCTTTTATGGTGCTTTATTGTTGAAAGTTTACTCTCACTCGGTATCTTTTAGGTTCTTTTTTATTTAGCATATATGAATCTATAAATTAACTTCTTTTGTCCATTGCTCTGACATTTTCCGACGGTTACAGAAGCTCCTAGTTCAGTCCCGCCAGGATTTTCAGTGCCAAGCAGAGCACCACCTCCAGGGTTTCCATCTCATTTGAGCAGCAGGAGGGTGAACCAAGCTTTTGACAGTTCTGGTATGTTGTCTCTTACTTATGTTGTTTTGTGGGTTTTCTTTTGTAGACTCATTCTAAGAGTACTGCTTGTGCCCTCCAGTGAATCATTTGTTGCAACCATCTTGTATATCGACTGGTAATTCTGGCAACACAGGGGATGTTAAGAATAATGGTCAGGCAATTCTGGAAGTTGGTGAAGGAATATTGGCGAGAGGGTTGAGTAGGAGAGCAACTTTATCTCAGTTTAATACTTCTGAGCCTGATGCAAGTCTCCATTTTATGAGGCAGCAGCCAACTTCTACACAGCAAAACTTAGGATTTCAAGACCACTTCAGTACTAGGTACTCTTCCCTAAATGATGCACATAGTATTTCTCCACAGCATCCAGATCAATTCCAGCCCAACAATACATCTTCATTTGTACAGTCCAGCACTCAACAATTCAGTGACGTGCATGTATCAAACAGTCATTGGGCTCAATGGAATGAGGTCAGGAGTGTGAGCGATCTTGGTATATCAGATCTACTGAGAAATGATAGATTGGGATTTACCAACCTCATTCCCTGTTATGAGAATATGAAGTCTCCAGCAGGTTGCTTCAGCCATCTAAACAACAGAGCATTTGAAATGTGAGTTTTTATGTAGCTGGAGTTTCTCTTTCGTGCTTGACTGGGGGTCAAGTGTGACTGAGTGGATTGCTCTTTTGATGCTAATTTTCCCTTTTGAAGTAGCTTCACCTTCTGAGTTATATCCACAGTTTATTAGTATCACCTAGTAAGGATCAACCTTTGTCTTTCTCTTTGTCGGAAATTGGTTTTTCTTGAAAAGACGAAGTGATAGGTTCAAGGGTTACTGCATTCTCACAGAATGGAAATTGAGTGAGGGAATTCTATGCATTCATTTGCTAGTGAGAGGCCTCGAGTTTCGACATTCCCTGTCTGTGTGGTAAGTGTCAATGCAGTGACTATAACTCCATATAGTGGAGACATATGTTCTCGAGGGAGGCCTGTTTTCACACTTTCTTGAGTGGAAAAATATAAGGATATCGATATGCTATGATGGGGGTATGAGGGAACACAGATGAGCCTATACAATACAACCATTCTTCTAAAAGCGAGGTGAGATACATACAACACAGATATTGGAACACATAATGTCTATTTTCTGTATATTTATTGTAATCAGATTTTGAATATATACTACTATAGTCAAATCATACAAAATTCATAACTATATAGTAAACTTTTCCTGTATGGCTATATCTAGTCTATTGAAAGAAGGTTGTATATTAAATATTAATGCATGCATGAGATCTATCCAAATCTATCAATGAAAATCAGAATACGATCCAACTGTTGGGAAATATCTTTCTCACTGTTGGAAACTTGTCTTGCTTTCTTTATTGTGAACAAATTAAAGTTTGCATAAAGTTCTTCACTAGTGTAACGAGTTATTTGTTTGTCTTGTTTTCTCTATGCAGGTAGACTTGAGGAAAGTGGTTCTGTCGTGTTTGGTTGACCTAATGGATGCATCTAATGTTACCCAATATTGACCTCTGTTAATGTTTTAGAACTCCCACCAGTGATCAAGTGTATAATGACAATGAATGAAATGCTAAATTGAAAGTCAAGTCGGTGTTAATGACGTTGCTGGATGTTGTTTACGGAACTTGTTTTGGTTGTCCATAGAGGTATGAATTTTTTAAGAAATTAACTGAAAGGGGATGGAGATTCAATGAGCACCCATTTTTATGTTTATCATAGGTGTCATTACATGTGCAAAGTTGAAGAAACTTTAAAAATGGCACCCTTGCATGCTTTTGCCTGAGGCATTAAGGGTCAGATTAGGCAATTAGAGGTGGATTGTTTTCTTACTTGCATGATGTAGGCCACTTTAGTTCTTTTGGCGAAAGATTGTTTTTAAATTCTCGTGTGGTTAGGTTGCTTTTGTAGGGGTCGGAACAGGGCTCCGCACTCCGCAGTCTAATCAGTTAACCTTTTCTAGGTCCTTTGGGTACCAGAACGTGCATGCCTATTTTGTATATATAAAATTTTCTGATTTATCAACCAAATGGAACCCCTACAAAGAGATTAAACTTCGAACTTAGAATGGAGAAGCATCACATGACAATCTGTTTTAGCCCAACTCAACTCAACCAGAATAATTACCGAACAGTCATTAATTAGTGCTTCGAACTGAAAGCTCGTGAGAACAGAAGCTTTTGAAGCCCTAGCTAGCTAGACCTTTCTCAACTCTCAAGGGTGTGGTCTGATGGACGTCCTCATGAACTGTTGCTTCAATAATTTTAACTGGCCTCTCTCTCGCTCTCTCTCTCTCTCTCTCTCTCTCTCTCTCTCTCTCTCTCTCTCTCTCAAGACAATAGCATCCATCCGGCCGCATGCAAATTAGTTCACTATTGGCATCCCTGTTTGCTTATAAAAAGTGAAGTCTCTTCTCTTGCACAGAGAGAGAGAGAGAGAGAGAGAGAGAGAGAGAGAGAGAGGGTAAATAAGAATGATCGAAGGGTAAAAAATCTCACTCTATAATTCTGGCAGATACTCAGTGAAGATTAGAATGGTAGCCTAGGTAGGCAGGACTTTGACTGTGACTCATCAACCTTATCATCCCCTGAAGATTCCATCACATGCAGTTCAAAAAGGTACCCCCAAAAATCAAAATATGAGCCTGAGTTGTTTTGTGTTGTATTCTAGTGTGTATTATTGTGAAAGGGAAACCTAGGAACCCAGGTTTATTTACATGCAATGCAATGCGAGAGAGAGAGAGAGAGAGAGAGAGAGAGAGAGAGAGGATCATGAACATGCCCAACGCCTGTTGACTGGACCACTCTATATATACATAGTCTACTTTAGAGGAGTAAAACAGCAAATCAGTAAAATAGTAAAAGCAGTTGTACTCCTCTGCACACTCTCGCTCTTTCATTTCAAATAGTTGCAGTGCATTGGCGTGTACTTACTTGATGCATTCCACACACACAAGCGCTGTGTTTTCTGGTGTGTGTCTGTGAGGGAGAGGAATATACGGTAAAGTTGGGTTTGACTGTGGATCTTCTCATTTGTTTCTAATAAGTAGGATATAGACATGTGGGAAATGTATTATTCTGTCGAATTGAACAAAATATTTATGTTGTCAGACTGTGAATTTAAACCATAAATTAAATTTATTCTTATTTGAATCATTAAACGTGTGGCCTAAACTCAATCCAACTTTATAACATCATTACACGTGTAATCTATTTAGACCAAATTTATTGAACATGTAACAAAATATACTCTCATTCTCTTCTTGCATTTATCAACTCAATAAACCAAATATCCTTTGTCAATTTAGTTGAGAAACCAAATGTAACAATATCATCAGTGGTAATGATGAGAAAATCCTGGCTAGCATTATCGAATTCAGTTTGCCAAAATAAGAATTTATTTGGCACATTAAATAATGTGACAAGATCACATTATTCATCACATTGAGAAATTACATACACATACACTGTGAGTGAAAAGGAAATTCCCAAAAGAAGGATTTGAGTTATAATTAAGTTTCAGTAGTGATTTAATTTGGTTTAAATGTTTGTGTACAAACCATGCACATGCATAAACAGTGCCATTGAAAGGAAAGTAAATCTTCCAACCGCCCATGAAGCAAATAAATGCAGAGAGAGAGAGACCCCTTTGTGAGGTCGCTATTAGCAAGAAATACAAGTTATTGAACCCTGTTTCTAATTTATGTTTTAATACTTAAAATAGTAAATTGAGCCTAATTCCTTCAAATCATTTTTCCTCAACTACAACCCATTTCTTTATTTTTGTTTGAATACAATTTTGTTTTTTCTAAATAAAACCTGATGACTAGGATCCAATTCGGCAAGTTACATAATCAAGTGCAAAATCGAATTTATTGTACTTTTTTGATTCCTAAAATACTCCCAACTAAGTCATTATTGTATATTGTATATTAATGTAGGAACCAATGTAGAAACAAATTTTAATTGGATTGTAACTAATGACACACGTTGAATTTGGAAAGATTTCCAAATGGATGTAGGAATTAATTTGAATTTTTTTAAAAAAATTTAACAATAAATTTCTTTTGGACCTTCTCCCTTCTCCTCTTGACATGTGTAACTTTCTTTACACTTCAAAACAATGTCATTAATGCATCACACAAACTAAGTTTTGTCTTTCAAATTTAACCTTATTAAATATATTAACTTTTTTACAAGGGTAGTTTTTTAAAACTTTTTTACCACCTTGTTAAAAAATCAAATTAAAAAAAACGTTAGTTTAGAGAAGAAAAAAAGTCACCTTTTCTTACCACCTTTTAACTCTAAAGGTTAGTTTTTTTATTTATTTAAATTTAAATGTTAGGTTTTTTTTTCTAGAGAAAACAGATTTTTTTAATTAACTATTTTATTAATAAACTTGTTTTATTTTTAATTTGTATGACAACTAGTTTTGTAAACAAATTTTTTTTAATTAACTATTGTGAAAATTACTATGAATCTGTTGTTGCTAATAAAATATTCTATCACTTTCTTTTTATAAATTTTATTTTTATTTTCAATGGATATTGGTATTATTGATATTTATCTTTTACTGTTATGTTTTTTTTTGGGTGTGATTATCTTAACATTTAAATACCTGAAAAATAATAACTACAACATATCTTTTCCTCAAATGACTATAAATTTGTTATCATGGAAGTGACATCGTTTTTGTTGTGGAAAAAAAAAAACATTCTCTTTGGAAATGTTTTTTAAAAATAAAAAACGGCAGTTTTTCTTATTTAATTTTTTTAAATAAGGTGGTAAGAAAGTTGTTAAAAAAAAATCAATACATTTAATAAGGATAAGACTTGGAAAACAAAAATTAGCTTGTGGGATGCATTAATGACCTTTATTTTAGTGTAAGAAAATGGAGAATGTCCAAATGAGAAGGTTAGAGAGAAAGTTGATAGCATTCCTCTTTATATATTTTAGTTTGAATTTAAATTTTATACATAGATTTCAAAATTAGTAGGTTGATATCTAAGAAATAGAAATTATAAGAGCCTATATTAGACCAGCCCGAGAGCAGAGAAGTAAAAAGAGGCTTGAGTCAGTGACAGAATGAAAAGGGGGATCCTAAAAATGAAAGACAAAACGGAGAGAGAGAGCATTGAATTGTTTTGAAAGAGTGGTTGAATAACCAAAGTGGCAGGAAACTGACTATATATGAACACACTTCTGCAAATCACGAGGTCATGCTCTGCCCCCATAAACAGAAATCTTGTATCTAAGTATATATGACATGCATTCACACTGAGACAGGCACACAGCTGTGAACTGCCCAATAAAGCTATCAGATTACATCAGGTTGTACCAAACACAACACTAGGAGGAGGAGCATGGCAATTATAGCCCACATCCTCCCTATATAACCCTACAGGTTTCTAGTGTGAAGAGAGAGAGAGAGAGAGAAAGAAACATAGTTAAGTTCTTTTTTAAAAAAAATTATAAAACTTTGAGTTTTACATATTGTTTTTCTTATCATTCTTATTGGTGGTGAGCATTACCACCAAGTCAATTGTCGTTTGATGAGTTTAATTTTTTAGATACGGGTAACATTTAAGTTAAATAACATTTATAAATATATTTTAAATTTCCCTCTAATCACATTTGGTCAAATCACATTTGTGTAAAAATTCACTTGCACCTAACTGTGGGAGCAAAATATTCGAGAACATAAAGGAACAAGTTTTTATGGAATCTTATGTACAATTTGTATGTGAAAATGATTAAAAAAAAAGTGAAAAAGGTAAGTATGAAATGGTAAGGTACGCTGAAAAGGCTGGAGGTACCTGGCCTGAATTTTTTTACTTTGGAGACGTATGAAAGTACAAACGGGCTTTTCACGCTGCTCATAAATCACAATGCAGATACACAAAATTACAAATATTATTACTTTATCATTTACAGACAGGTCGACGACCCTCTTTCTCCATCTTTGATCCTTTTCAAATTTGCAGTGCATGCAGTGCAGTGCAGTGTGTAACAAGTACCTGCTTCAGCCTAAAAGCCGAGGATTGCGGATCCTTACATTGCTACTTTTCCTTTACAGTCTGCACAGATATACACGTAGCTAGCTAGCTCCAACCCCAACTTGTCCACGTCTCCTCCATTTGGCAACCAAAGAACAACCCACAATTCCTAAAACTAACACATCATAGGGTATTTTTTTTTTTTTTTTTTTTTTTTTTTTTTTTTTTTTCTCAAAATAAATATATATTTCCTTTTTTCCTTTGTTCTTTACAAATCTGAAAATTTGCATTGCTGGAAGTTGTTGTTATGTAGCTGCCTGTTAATGTGTTTGAATTTTAAGTTTGTTTTGTTTTGTTCTAGCTTTGTGCTTGGTAGCAGAGCATGTCAAGCTTTATGAGCAACTACCAATCTGGGAATCAGAAATAAGATACCATTCATTTCACGCTAAAGTACAAACTCTTCAGCGGTAAAAAGAAAAGGCATTTGAAATTGAACTGTTTTAAGCTTCCAAATCAGATTTTGCTCCACCTGCTTTTCAGCACCCCTCAAAGGAAGGAGGCATGCAAAAGAATGTGACCACAAGTTAGAAGAAGGCAAAACTACCTCAATTTTACCATGCCTCTAGACCAAGATCCTCAAGTTTCATAAGCTTTACATGATCATAGCAAAACAAATTTCATTACCAATCTTTTTCTACTCCTCCCGTGACTACATTCTACACTAAAATACTAATGTGTCGTGGTTTATATCCTATCTGGTTCTGGTTTTCAGCTCCTGCAATAGAAACCGGGTATGTTGTTGGTGACTGTCGATGGTGAAAAATGGTGGTGGAGAATAGTTGTGTTAGGAAAATGAAGTTGATTGACAGCAGCTGGTGGTGAAGTGGCTGTTGAAGAAGGGAATCCTGATGATGCTGCAGCAGAGAAGAGTGGCATTGGAGTTGCTCCACCATTAAGGCCTTGGAGTTGCCATGCCCAATTTGGGAAGGAGTTAACATCCATTCTCTTTTCCGTTGCTCTTTCCTGAAAATACAAAAGAAGTCGAATTATTAACAAACGCAGCAAAACTAGAATTGTCAGTGATTGGTGATAAACAGGAAATAAACCCCCCCTCTTTGCAATCAAAGAATTTGTTCATATTAGGGAAGCCTGCAATGCTTCTTCTAAGGGTTAAGAAAACAAGGACCAATAAGAGAATATCGAATGTAAAAAACAAGGAGATTCTTTGTAAATTGGATAGAAGATTTAACATAAAAAATTGAAGTGTACACCAATAACACAATCAAATGAAAACATTGCAAAGGTCAACAAGAAAATACTTCAGGCAGAAGAATTGAGGTTTGATAACTTCTTATAATAAATTATGATAGTGACTAGAAGTGAATGTAAATTACCACTTGCATGGGAAAGAAATTGGAATTTATGTTGCTCATTATAGGAGGCTGCTCAGACGCCACCATTGAGCCATGAGACAGTTGAGCCCTCATAGGTGCTGGAGCAGAGTTCTCATTCTGTAAACAGAACAATAAAATGCTTTAAAGGGAGTAGCTTAAGTTGCAAAGGACTTCTGTACAATAGCAAAGGTGAATTCAGCTGAGTGGGGCTTTCAAAAGTTGATCTCAACATTACCCTTGTTCTCATGTGAATAGGAATATCATCGCAGCCTAGCTGAACAGGGAAGCTGCTGAAATTGCTGTTGTTCTTTTGGAGCTCAGAAACCAAAGGGGGAGCAATTCCCAAGTTCAGATCAAGACTTTTGTCACTGCCTGTACCAAGAGGGTTGTAGATAGATGATGTATTGGTAAAAATAAATAGATATATTTTTTTTTTTTTTTTTTTTTTTTTTTTTTTTTTTAACTAAATTGACAAAGGATTACACACAAAGATCTTACAAAAATGGATTCTCTAACAACAATATACCTCCATTGTGGGCCTCAGACATTATCTGACCATCATATGAGTTTGGCTCAAAGTTGGTGACTGCTTCTCTTCCATTGCATTTGATGGCAGCCTTGTCATATGCCCTGATTTCAAAGAACAAATACTGACTTAAATGAATCCCATGGTCAGTAAGATCTCAAAGTTTAGATATCGAGTAAAACAGTGCCTATATAATATCGTAAAGACCTTGCAGCTTCAATCTCGCTATCAAATAGGCCCAGGTATATATACCTGCAGGCAAGCAATGAAATACCATAGCCAATGAAAACCAATTTCTCAATTCATCCGAACAATCTACTTTACAAAAACGAAGTCCCAACTATTTATTTGGTCCTTGCTGAACACAATTCTTTGTATTGTTCCCTTGTTCACTTATCATAATCACTTAGACCACATACATAGATGAATACTCAAAATCCATATTCAAACACATTGACACATAAAATAATGACAGTAAAAACAGAAAGGGGTTCTTACTTCTTGCCCAGAAACTGGCCCATACGAGCTTCCCAGCGGCCACATTTGTGCAACGTGACTCCCCTGTATTTTGAGCTTCCTCTAGAGAATCCGGTGCTCTGGCGACGCAGGATATGGACAAACTCTTCCTTTGTAAAATTGCTCATCTGCGTCACAGTCAAATTCAACCCCAGAACAAAATAAGACAATGCCAGGAAAAATCTTCACCATATTGTACACATAACACACTCTAAAACCGACCTGCTTAATATCGTCTTCATAATCACTAACATTGAAATTAATATCAGCTTCAGTTCCACGGAACTTGATCGCAGCTCGATCATATGCCCTAAGTTCATGTTACCAAACACCCACAAATACCCGAAACGTTAAAAGAAAAAAAGAAAAGAAAAAAACATGCACTAAATTTTTTATTAGAAAAAACATTTATATCAAACAATAGGATTCTTATTTCTTACCTAGCTGCAGCATGGGCAGTGTCAAATCCTCCTAAAATTTCAGAACAATAAACAAAAGACAAAAAGAAAAATATAATCAACCAGAAAAAGAAAAAAGGAAAAAAACAAAAAAGACTAAGCGGTGGGTTTTGATTTTTCTTACCCAAGTACACCTGTTTCCCGCAATCCCTACACAAAAAAGAAATGACAGAGCTCAAATTCATGCCACAATCAAAGTATCCAAACAGAGTGTTAATGGTGTTATCACCGTAGCCAAACACTAACCAAATATGAGATTCCCATCTCCCAGTTCTCCGATAGAACGTAACGCCCCGATACTGAGAGCTCCGAGACCTGGGTCCTCTCCGGCTCTTCTTCACTTTCTGCTGCAAGGGCACGATCTGCTCCGCAGGAGCATAGTAGCTCGGCTCCACCTCCAATCCGGAATTGGACGATAGTCCCAGCCACTGCTTTCTCGAAGACGATGACGACGAAGAAGAAGAGAGTACGGATTGCGTGAGCGGGAAGAGCTGGATGGTCCGAGCATCACAGTGAGCGTTGTCTTCTGCAGCGACGTCGTTTGGGGAGAGGAAGTTGAGGGTGGACGAGTCTTCGTCGTCGCCGGCGGCGGTGAGGTTGGAGGAGGAGTTGAAGCTGGCTGAGCTCTGGATTGGGGAGGTGGTAGCGGGAAGGTGAAGAAGGTTGTTGTCGGAGCTGGAGACGACGTCGTTGCAGACGAAGCTGAGGTTGAGATCTAGCATTGCTTTTGTGTAAAGATTTGGGCTTTGTTTGGGTGGCGTGGTGGGTTCGGTGTTTGGGACGTGAATTCACACAGAGAGCAATGGCAGTGGGAAAATGGTGAGAGAAAATGATGAGAGTGGAAAAAGCATTTTCATTTCGAGAGCTTTGATTTGTTTTTGTACGTGTTTGTTAGAAGGATTGAGAGAGACGAGAGAGGAAGAGATGTGGTTGAAATTGAAGTTGGTTCTGGAAGCGCCGGCGTGAGAGAATCGTAGTGAGGCCGACTTTGTGAGTCTCTTCATTCATGCAAACCCACCGAAATTAAGAAGTTAATATAGTTGTTAGAGAGAGAGAGAGAGAGTTGTTTGTTATGGAGCAAAAGAAAAAGGGATTAAATTGGAAGGTAAATTCACTACACACATTTGGCCCACTATTCAATAATTTCAATCTTGTTAGAAAACTTTACACAATTTATCACAAAACTGTTAATTTGGATAATTAACAAAAGCGTATTTAATTATTGACTGTAAATGTATGTGAGTCTCACGATGAAATTCGTATATGTCGGTCTAATTCTGAAATACATATACATTTACTATCCACAATCAATCACACACACATTTCTAATTGATTAAGTGAATTCAAATTTTGGTACCTATTGGTTTAATTTAACAACATATAAGATACTCGATAAGAGAACATTCATTCATGAACTTGGTAATATTTTGGCACCTACTTCTTTAGAGTGAATGAATGAAGAAGTTGTAGGGTTTGATGGCGGGCTGAGAGAGAGGAGGATGAGAGAGAGTGGGGGGTTCAATCAGTCAGAGAGCGGTGGGAATATGGGGGTGTGTGAATGTGTCACATCTCATATGTGGGTGACTAGACCATTCCCTGGTTCATATTGCCCCCTACCCCCCCAACCCTCTCATCTGGCTGACACATAGCCACTTAGCCATAGCCATCAACATTTATCAATAAAGATAATCAATTTTTCTGATTTGTTTGTTGGGATTAATTGGCACACACTTGCCTTTGAAACTCTCAGTTAGACAAACTTGTCAATTTCTGTTCTTTTGCCTTTTCCTTTTCCTTTTGATGTTGCTTAGGATATGACAGCATATATTATAAGAGTTAATCAATCATTAAGTGTTACTTGGGTTTAATCACACCAAGCATTCGAGACAATGTGATAATGCTGTGAATATTATTTTCAATAAATTTTGAAAAGTAGTTTGATTCATCTTTATCAACCAAGAAAAAGATAGGAACATCACATTTTAATAGGAGTGAGATTATTTGTATTAGTGAACTCCACTTCTGTACGAGAAGCGATTACTCTCAGTATAAATGTATCACAACTTTATTAAATTATTAATGATATCAACAATGTGATACATAAATTGGTCATGTAGAATGTTACTCAATATATTACTAAAACAATTACTACATGTATATATTACTAAAACAATCTGCAATTCCAAGTTGGTGTGTGGCAGTATCCGTACACGTCTTCCTTAAGTACCCAAAAACGACAGAAGCCGAAATTAGGTAGACCCAACCCAACTGGGCCCATTGCCTGCCCAAAATGACAATTCTTCTTCTTCTTCTTCTTCTTCTATTGTTTTTTCTGTCTTGATGACAATTCTTCTTTTATAAAATACAAGAATATATATTTAAAATATTATTTGTTTCTGCCCTCATATGACTCGGTGTCGGTACCATAAAACACAGCTATCTCTCATTCCTCGTCATAGGCGTCATCAATGGGCCGAGCCAGGCCGGGCTCAAACAAGTAAAAGAATATTAGCGGATTGAATCGGACTGGGCTTTTTTCAATAATTCAAAGCCCATGCCCGAATCATAGGCCAGGCCTTAATGGGCCTTATCGGGCCGGGCCAAGCAAGCCCAATTGGGCCGGGCTGAAATGGGCTTACTATTTAAAAAGTCAAATATATAAAATTCATTTCATTCTTGCTAAAGTATGAAGGTTACAAAATGTCTTACAAATCTTATACCCTTCCAAACAAAAAGGTCTTACAAAATCACAATCTAATCACAATCAAATTAGATTCACTCATAATCCAATCAAAAACTTCACTGCAAGGCAAACACTCAAAAGCATAATAATGTCCCAAAGTCCATTACTACAACAAAAATCCAATGCTTGCAAAATAAAATATAATCCTATTATATGACATTTCAACTTTGAATGGTCTCATTTTCAGATTCACCAACAATCTCAACTTCACTATCTACCATCCAATATGGTCTTGATGCTCTAATGTTCATTAATTCTTCAGCATGTTGCTCATCTACTGCTGCATGTTGCTTTCTTGAATCTTTCAAGGCCCAATCTTTGAAGCAAATTAAAGCTTTTAGTGTACTCAGACTCAAACTGGCCATTTTCTCTGATACAACTCTATCACTTGCACTAAAACATGATTCTGATGCTACAGTAGAAGCTGGAACAGTTAGCAAATCTCTAGCCATGAGGGAAACAATAGGGTATGATGATTTATTGTTTTTCAACCAATCCAAAAGACTAAATTGATTATCATCAACTACTTCTATTGTTGGAAAATCAAGATAAAATTGTAATTCAGAAGTGTTGGTGGAAGAAGAAGAAGAAGAAGATAGCCTTTTTCTTTTCAAGCCTTCAATAGAGAAATTTCTCATTATAGGGACAGATATAGAACCAGAAGTTTGACTCAAAGTAGTAGAAGTTGCAACATTTTGCACATTTTGAACCATATCTTGAATTACATTCTTCTTGCAGATATCAAATAACTGAAATAATAAAGTCTTTAAAGCTAAATTTTTTGAGTCAATGGCTAATTGATCAATACATATCATGTGCAACCATTCAGCAATTGCAAATAATTTAAACCTAGGGTCTATAATAGTAGCTAAGCAAAAAACCATAGGAAACTCTTTCCAATATTTATCAAATTTTGCTTTCATTTTAGTCAAAGCATCCTTAAGAACAAAAAATTCAGAATATGCAGCAAATGATCCATGAATATCTATTAAATAATTAATAACACGACTTGAAGTAGGATAATACACACCAGAAAATATCTTAGTTGAAGAATAAAAAATTTGTAAAAACCCACTAACAAGTTGTGCTATTGTCCAATCTTCTTCACTAGGTACTTGTAAATTACAAAATGTGATTCATTTACCTTTTGAACATACCTATGCAAAGGGGCTTTATATTTTATATCAACATGTAAAAGCTCATATGTTGAATTCCATCTATGAGGCACATCAATATCTATATTTTTCTTTCCCATATGGAAATCACTACAACATTTAACCCAAATTTCATGTCTCTTGTTAGATGAATTCATGCTACGAACAATATCAGTAATTTTTTCAATAGACGAAGATAAAACTTTAAGTCCATCTTGCACAATCAAATTCAATATATGACAACAACATCGTACATGAAACAATTTTTCATGCACAGAATCCAACAAAAGAGTTGATGGAAGTATACTTGCAGTTGAATCATTATTTGATGCATTATCTAATGATAAAGTAAATACTTTGTTGTGAATGTTCCAAGATAACAATTCATCAAATATATGAGTTGCAAGTGACTCTCCGGTGTGTGGATACTCAATCATTTTAAAGCAAATTATCCTTTTATTTAAACACCAATCTTTATCGATAAAATGTGCAGTAGGTGACATATAACCCATTTTCTGTCGTGATGACCAAACATCATAAGTTAAACAGATTTTTGAATCAAGTTTTTCAAAAACAGCAAGCAAATTAATCCTTTCTTTATCAAATTTTTTTAGCACATCCCTTTTACATGTAGAGGCTGAAATTCCTTTATATTGGGGACAAAATGCACGCTGAATCAAGCCTTTAAAATCATGGCTATCAACAAATTTAAATGGCAGCTCAGCTCTAATAATAAATTCCACAAGTTCTTTTCGAGCAATATCATGATCATAAACAAAATTAGTCAAATTTCCAACAGCATCAACATTTAATAACATTTTACCTTGATTTACCCTAGCTTGTGCATCTTCATGCCATTTTAAATGACGAGATAAATGACTAGTGCCACTACTAGAATTACCAACCAACAAAGTATTACAAATAACACACTTAGCCTTAATTACTAGTTTACCATTTTCAATTTTGTTAACCTTTTCAAAAAAAGACCAAACTTTACTTGTTAATCTAGGTGCACTAGGTGACTCTGAAGGGGGATTGGAATCATTTGTACTTTCAGTCAAAGGTGACGCACTAGAAGAATCCATTTTGATGATATTACGAAAATAAAGACAAAATGGAAGATGTTACTTGATAAACAGCAAAGCACAAGCTTTACTTTTGCAACACTAACTCCTGCAAAATAAACCAAGAACTCATTTATAATCAAAGTTTAGCACAAAAACAGCAAGATATATTAACAAACTAAAACAACTGATATTCCTTACCTTTTTCCACCAACAACCATAGAAAATGAAAGAAAGCCTTGCAATCCTCAAAAAAGTAAGACACAAACTCCTGCAATAAAAATGAAAACAAATATTTCATCAATAGTTTGTAGAAAGAAGGAGAAAGAGATGACAACCTATGTTTTAAGCATGGTTACTCAAATTTGCAGTTATCTAAATGTAGACGAAAACAGATAATACATAAATTTTATTTCATAAAAAAACAGATAATACATAAATTTAACAGAGATGGGAAATTGAAATGCTTCGTAAAGAAAAGATATATAAATATAGGATATTCGCAAGTGATACATAAATTTAACAGATAATACATAAATGTTAATCGATTGTTCAGTCACTTTCTGTCAAATTGTGTTGGGTTGATATGATATCTGCAAGTGAAGATATATAAATATAGGAACTTGGAAATGGTTGGCCGCCTAACTAACTGCGTAAAGCAAAGCTGGCACCAGCTTTCTTCCATCGTCCACACAAAGGACAAGATATAATTTATATCTATATAAATCAAGAAAGAAAGATTGAGGGGAAAGGAAACCCAACCCAACACTACAAATCTGGAAAAGGAAGATTCACCAATAGATTTTAAATAATAGCCATAACAGAGACTTCAATTTACACACACAAGTAGAATTTCCAGATGCAATCAACAAAACCAAATTAAGCATAAAAAGTCATAAAGCCGAAGCAAATCATCACAAACTAAGAGCTAAACATAAAAACAATAACAACAAAAGAAATAGATGAACTTCTATACAGCAAATAGATTTTAGCAAAAGGATTGAGAAGAACTTCTCATAATCTCAGTTTCTCTTGCACACAAATAAGATCAAAGAGAGAGATCTTAGCTGAAAGAAGACATCCATATGGATACCTGAATTATTGAACTTGGATCGTTGTTTTCGATATGCAATCTTAGTTTCTCTCATACTTGGATCTACAAGATCGAATGAGGAGAGAGAGAGCGGAAGAGAAATGAAGAGGTTGAGAATCGAGATAGCCAAAGAGAAATGAAGAGGAAGATAGAGTCGAAGAGGAAGAGAGAGACGCAGGCAGGAGTGTGGGTGCGGCGCTAGGTTTAGAATTTGGAGAAACTAATCTGATAATTGCCTTTTTATATGGAGGTATTGTATTGGTCTGTCTGACCTAAATGGCTATTGGGCCTTTTCCCTTTCTTTTTTTCTTTCCAGAAACAAACACAGCCCTTAACGGCTATATTATATAATGGCTATATATACGGGCCTAACGAGCTGGGTTTTTGTGGGCGGGCCGGGCTAGGCTCTCTCGGGCTTAATCGGGCCGGGCTGGGCTTCAAACACTTAAGCCCAAGCCTAGCCTAGCCCAATGCGGGCCGGGCCATCCAAAAGCCCACATCGGGCCGGGCCGAGCTATTTCTCGATGGGCGGGGCGGGCCCCCATCGGCCCATGAGCTCGCGGGTCAAATGATGAGGCCTAGTTTAGAATTTGGAGAGACTGATATGATAATTGCCTTTTTATATGGAGGTATTGTATTGAGCTGTCTGACCTAATGGCTATTGGGCCTTTTCCTTTTTTTTTCCAGAAATAAGCACATCCCTTAACGGCTATATATACGGGCCTAATGGGCCGGGCTTTTGTGGGCGAGCCGAGCTGGGCTCTCTCGGGCTTAATCGGGTCGAGCTGGGCTTCAAACACCTAAGCCCAAGCCTAGCCCGGCCCAATGAGGATCGAGTCATCCAAAAGCCCATATCGGGCCGGGTCGGGCTATTTCTCGATGGGCCGGGAGGGCCCCCATCGACCCATGAGCCCGCGGGCCAAATGATGAGGCCTAGTTTAGAATTTGGAGAGACTAATATGATAATTGCCTTTTTATATGGAGATATTGTATTGGGCTGTCTGACCTAAATGGGCCTTTTTTTTTTTTCTTTTTTTTTTTTTTTTTTTTTTCCAGAAACAAGCACAGCCCTTAACGGCTATATTATATAATGGCTATATATACGGGCCTAACAGGCCGGGTTTTTGTGGGCGGGCCGAGCTGCGCTCTCTCGGGCTTAATCGGGCCAGGTTGGGCTTCAAACACCTAAGCCCATTGGGCCGGGCTATTTCTCGATGGGCCGGGCGGGCTCCCATTGGCCAAATGATGAGACCTACCTCGTCGTTTAACTCGTTATATACAAAAAGAGCAAAACACCTGACGTGTCCTAAACCGTCAGAGAAACACACAAAAGAAAAAACGAATGACACAATCCGTTAGTTTTAAACCCTAGTAAAGCCTCATCGTTAACCACTCAACATGTGTTTTGATGATAACCGCGTTTTCTCGATACGTTTTTAATTTCGTACTGTGCACTGCTTGGGCTTAACTTGTACAAAAAGAGTGTCCAAAAATTCATAGTCGGAAGATATGTATGTGTCTCTGTATTTTGTTTTTGCTTCTAATCTTAGCTGGCAGCCATACAAGTTTATTGAGGTGGGTTGGGGGTTGACTGGGCTGGCAAGCTGAGTTGGTTCATTTTCATGGGATATATAGCCCATGCAAATTTTGTTTTACAACATAAAATTATGTTATTAGAAAACAAAGTTACTTGTAATAAGTTTATGTTAATTGGTTACATTAGACTTCGTCTGCCATTGTACCCCCCTCCTTCACTGATGGTAATCGGAATGGTGTCCGACTTCTCAACATGGAAATTAAATTACTTGTTGGAGGATCCGAAATTTTATGCTCCAATAATTGGCATCGTCTGTGAAAAACGTACAAAAAGTTATCTTGAGAAGCAATTGACACTGTGTGATTGAAGGCTCACCTGTGCTACAATGGGGGCACGAGTCTAATCCCCCGAACAGAGAAGAATTTCTAAACTCTCTTTTTAGGATTTCACGAATTGGCTTTCGCTACTATTGTTTTCCTTTGCGTTTGTGGCTTTAATGGGATTTTTCAAGTCTCTGATAAAGAATGAAAGGAAAAGGTAACAAAGGGAATGTATAATCCCTCGCGGCTCTAGAATTTAACAAGACAATTTCTTCTAAAACTTCTTCACGATTTTCAAGTTTTCCAAATATTGGTATCAATTTTTATTTATTTATTTTATTGATTTATTGGTAGACATGCAATCGTTTGGTGCTAGGGGAACTCAACGTTGAGTAATCTTTGAATTGGCTAACAACCAATGGAATGGGGGCACTGGCTAAGTCCCGCATAAAAAGGATTTGGAACATTTACATTCATGGAAAGATGCTCATAGAGTATGCTTATTGTCAATTAACTTTGCCTAGAGGCATGTTTGCCTCAGTAAAATTATAGTTTTGAATGGAATGCTACTAATTGCTACAGTAAGTAATAAAACAATTTTTACATGATGCCTAGTGCAGGTATTACTTGGCTGGTCTCCAAGTCGAGATATGCTTTATTCTGATTACCTTTCTTTTTAAATGATTTCTATATGATTTTAGCTATGTGAACAACAACTCTGTCCACTATTTGCCAATGCAATGGGTTATTCTATCTGCTACATATATTATTGCTCAAGTCTATCATGGAAGTTATGTCCTAATAATTTTTGGTTATCTTTTCAATATAGTTAGCTTCTACTGTCTACACGTATGGACTAGCTCAACTATTATATTTCTTGAAATTCTTATTGTAATGTTTTTCTATACTAATGCATTAATAATCGTATATTCATCAAGTGCTTACGCACCCAATTTGAGTCCTACAAGAATTAATTGTTCATCTCGTGGAAGACCTTTTAAATGTCTCATTTTTATATTCATTTGGTTAATCCCAAGTTCATTTTTCAATTTGCATGAAAATTGATTATAAATCTAAGAAAATTATATTCTATGCCTCTTTAGTCACCACGATTTATGATTTTGATAATTGACAAAAATATGTTTATATGATTTGAAACTCAACGTGACATAGGCAGGTGTAATGGGAATGTCACACAAGGTTTGCAAATTGGAAGAAAATCCAAATTTTATTTCAAAGACCAACAAAACTCAACTAACAGAGTTGATGATAAATTACAGAAAGGAAATGTGTGTACCAAAGCCAACACGCTCCATGAAGTGGTGCTTGGGTGACAATTTAGTCATTATCAAAGCACAACAAATATGGTATGCTTCAAAATTCCACAAATTATCTTCGTTCATATCAATTGTTTAACAATATTATTGGATCCTTTGTCGATCTCCAACAAAATTTCACCTAAGGCCTACAATACCTTGAGGCAAAATCGAATCCATGTCAATCCCTACATCACCATGGAGGCAATCAATTGGATCTATGTCGATCCTTACATCACCCCCAAGGGTTACCAATCCCTTGAGGGCAATCAATTGGATCAATGCCAATCCTAATATCACCCCGAGGTTACCAATCATCTGGGAGCTATCAATTGGGTCAATGCCGATCCCTACATCACCCTCAGGGTTACCAATCTCATAGGGGCAATCAATTGAATCCATGCCGATCCCAACATCACCAAGAGGTTACCAATCCTCTTGGGGCGATCAATTGGGTCCATGTCAATCCCTACATCACCCTAAGGATTACCAATCCCCTAGAGGCAATCAATTGGATCCATACCAATCCCAACATCACCCTGAGGTTATCAATCCTCTTGGGGCGATCAATTGGATCCATGTCGATCCCTACATTACCCTAAGGTTACCAATCCTCTAAAGGCAATCAATTGGGTCTATGTCGATCCCTACATCACCATGGGGTTATCAATCCACTAGGGGCCATCAATCCACTAGGGGCCATCAATCGGATCCTTAATCGATCCTAATCAATTGCATTCTCTGCTGATCCTAATTAAAGTTCACCAAATTTGACAATACATTATCACAACTCAAGGACTTGTGGATCAAGGATTTCTGAAGGCAATGTTTTACTCATGAATCTTTGCATAGTTGTGGTGAAAAGGTAACAAACTTGGTTTGCTTATTGTAGGGGCTTTTTTACTTATAGCAGCTACAAATGGGCTGGACTGCCGTAATGAGCTAACTAAAGAAAAGATCCCCTGTGTCTGAGTTCAAATATTAGACCCCAAAATGTTTCGAAATGATAGTAAAGCCTTAGGAAGTACCTTGGTTACCTTCACCAACAACAAATAATGGCTGCTTACAGATAAATTCTTAGTGCTTACAGGTAAAATCTTAGCTTGGCATGAGAGGCTTGTGGCGTGGGAGCAAAGTTGTCATGAGTTTAACACTAAAGAGAAAATTAAGTGTTCCTATGGAAAAGATTGGGTATTAAGGTAAGAGAGAAAAGGGTTTTGCATAAAGGTTTGGTTGAGAATAAGGGAAAGAGAGAAAAGGGTGGCTTGAGTGCTTTTTCCGGCAGCTTGACAGAGGTTCTGTCAAGTGTTAGAACAACCTGCCAAGAAGGAAAACTAAGGAGGAAGGAGATGAACTAAGCACGAAAATTGTTGGTTTTGAAAGTAAGAAAGGAAGCTTGTTATCTGGTTGTGGATGATCTTTGTGGGGTAGAAAAGGCCCTATTTATTGCCGCTGAAAGCCATCTTTTTCCAAGAAACCATAATGGCTTCCATCCCATTTTGCCAAGTCTTTCCCTTCCTTTCTCCCCTCATCCCTTCAATCATCCTATTTTGGTGAAATCTACTCTGCTCATTTGCACAAAATCATGGATTTTGGGAGCTCAAGGTCCATTTAAAGGAACATGGATACAGGTAGTTACTATTTTCAGCCATTTTACAAAAGGGACAATGCCAAATTTTCTGATCAACCAGACACAAGATGCTAGAAGGCAAAAATTTGCTACTGAACAGAGCAAGGGTGCCTTGAAAGCCCTCATTGACAAGATTGTAGAACTGGTTTGCAATTTGGGTTCCAATGAAATTTCCGGAACTCATAATCTATAACTAAATACAGGCTTTGATTAGCATATATCTATTAAACCCAAAAACAAGAAGATTCAGTATTATTACAAAGAAAGTAGAGACATTTTTCAAGCATTCAAAGAAATTAGAGATACTTGAACTCAAATATCAATGTCGTGAATTAACCCTTGCCTTAAACAAGCACAATTCAGCTTAGGTATTAGGCGCCTATTATTATGATCCTCAACTGTTAATCAACCGGACTATGGTACCTTTAGCATTCATTATTCTGGCTATTAACAAACTCTTTATCAAATTTCTAGAGTTCAAAATGTAATTATTGCTGGTTTTCAAACAAAACAACCGTAATGATATCATGAAACAACAAAACCAATTTGCCGTATCAAGAATAATGAAAGCATATCAGCAGCATCAACCCTTCAAGAAAGAAAGAACCAAACCAACATGCCATGCATCCACCATTCACATGAAATTAAAGGAATCCAAAACAAAATTATGCTTGTATTGCAAACCAAAGTAGCTAACATTGTCATGAAACTAAGTTGACAAACTAAGCTACAAATATAAATCCAGTGCCAGTGATTGAAAATCTTTAACAGGGTAAAGAGGAAACACACTTTGAAATTCTCTCGCTCATTATACTCATTTTCCTCCATTACCCAAAATAACAAAAGACACAGATAAATACCACAACAAAATAGACTTAACAAAACAGAGTCTTAGATTTTCAAAGCAGTAAATTAAATTACTGGGACACACCCAGCCACTTTGTGAAATTCTCGAACTCTGTGTAATCACTGTCAGAGATCATAGTTTTATACCAAGCTTTTCCTGCGGCCTTGATAGTAGATGCCTCCTCCTGTATAAAAAGAAATTCAACATTTATATTAGTACTGGTGCCCAAGATCTTGTAACAGAGTAAACAAGAAGCAGAAGAATTTTAGGCAAGATGCAGAATTCTTGTACATTCTCAACTTAAATTGAGGATGGTATGTGTAACTGATGAAAACCAGTATTACATGAAGGAACCCTCACATAATATATTAGATGATAGATCGAACATTTCCAATGTCTGAAACAATCTAAATCAATAAAGAACCCACATTGTCAACACGTCATAACAATTAATTTCCATACTGAATGTTTTCACCTACAAAGTGAATAGTAAATAACATTTGATTCACAAAGAAAATGCACCAAAACTCTGTATTGCCTGAAGAATTTGATGATTTACACTTCCAACCCATTATAGGATTTGATTTGCAAATTATAAGGTCAATTTTAAGTATTATTTTAGCTTTGGTATCGATGCAGATGCACACAAAATGAACTTTATTTCCCCTGATAACCTCTTGAGTTGCAAGAACCAGAAATCTCACACAGGCAGCTTACTGACACTAGCACACATCTTAGACATCTTTATAAAACAATTACATGAACATTAATGAGAGTTATCCTCTGATTAGAAAACTATATACACATATGAAATGACCTGCTTAGCATAATGGACACATTTTCGATGAGAAAATGTTTAAAACAATCATACTGCAATATCATCTAAAATCCAAAAACAGACTACCAAAATAAACAATCATTAAATAGCATATCACAAGAACTAATTAACCATAATAATAATAATAAAAAACACATAAGTAATATGGACCGATTACCTTTGAAATGGGCTTTCTCTTTTTGTCAAGCTTCTCCTTCTTAGCTTTCACCCGCTGCTCTTCGGCCAAAAGAGCCATCCTCCTAGCAGTTTTAGCGTAAGGGTTCAACTTCAGAAGAGTGTTGAGATTCTTCAATGGGTTCTTCTTCAGAGGCGCCCTCTTGAACTCCTTCTTGATTGGCCTAACCACAGACTGAACTTCATCAGAGTTGATAATCCTTGCCAAGTCAGCATTCACCATCTTCGACCTGGGCAACACGTAGCCCTTCTTCTTCTCCGAAACCTTATCAAATGACCCGTAAATCGAGTCCAGCTTCTCAAAAGCCGATTTGGTCCAGATGACAAAACGACCCAGATGCCCACCTGGAGCGAGCTTAAGCAGGTTAAGCCTCTCGACATTGATAATGTCGACGCCAGGAATGTTCCTGAAGGCCTTCACCAGCTTGGCCCCTTCAGTTCCATACACAATGAGCGGGCCCTTGCGGTTGATGTACCTCCGGTTCCTCATCTTCCCCTTTCCGGGTCGGATCGCGTGGCTGTCCTTGGCCTTTTCGGCGTCAGCGTAAGCCCCGATCTGCTTCAGAAGCTTCAGAGCCGCCGAGGTCTTCTCAACGCCCTCAGCGGAGTCGCTGACGACCAAGGGAAGCTCCGGGACGGTCTCAATTTTGTGTCCCCTGGCCAAAACCAGGGAGGGCACGGCTGATGCGGCAATGGCCGAAACGATGGCATATCGCTTCTGGTTCACGTTGATCTTGCGGTGCCAGCGGCGCCAGATCTTGGTGGGAGCGAACATGCGACCACCACGGCACATGTTTCCGAATGCTCCCTGCCCAGCGCGGTGGGTCCCGCCGCCGGGGACACGTGGGATACGTGAGACGGCGCGTCCGGTACCCCAAGACTCGGCGGAGGTCTGATGGCCGGCCTTCTTCGAAACGGCGTAGGGTTGCCTGCTGTTCTTTGAGATGTTTGCGTGGACGAAGGTGACGATGTCTGGGCGGATGGACGCTTTCATGACGTCCGGTAAGGCGACGGTTTGGGACTGGTCAGTGGCCATGTCGCCATCTAGGGTTTGGACGGTGACGAGGGGGCGAGCTGCTGCAGCTGCGGCGGCCATTTTAGAGGGAGGGGGGGAGTGAGATGGGAGGGGGGATGCGATGTGAGGGTTTAGGGTTGGGGCAAATGAGTGTTGCGTTGCTTTTATACCTAAAATGTTTGGAGGTAGGGTTTTCAGTTTCACTTACGCCATTTTTAATTATTTTTTTCTCCTTTAAATTTTCTGCTCATATTGCTTCATTTTAATTTTGCTGTACAATGTTTAAAAATTCAACTTATGTGTGGCAGGTTGGTATGAAATTATGTCATCATGTTTAGGTTGAAAAAAAGCTAGAATATAAAACATTTTTGTTATTAATTTCTTTTATAGAAAATATTTTCCTTATTAAAAACTTACATTTATGTTTCAATTTGTAGGGTATTGGGCTAAAATGTTTACAATTTAGCTGGATCTGGGCTTGACTTAAATATGCCTTTGTTTTTAGCTCTATCGGTGGAAGTTTATAGCTCGATTAATTATGCGCATTTATCTAAAGTTATGTGTTACATGAAAGAAAAACACATGCACCCCAAAAATGAAATAAAGTAATTTTTTGAAAATACAATTTCAAACATAATTTTATAGGAGTTTTTAAGATAATGTGTTATCGGAAATTATACATTACAAATGATTAAAAAAAGAAGGGGCAAATTTGCATTGGAACTGTTAAGAAGTCGTCTAGGTATTTCGAACTGTCAATGCTTACGTTATTCATGCGAAAATAGACGCATGCTTTGATCTCCTTCCATTTACTCCTTTAGTCACATGAAAAAGAACTCTTGAAATGCCGGAAGGAACCATATAAACATGTGACATTTGACAGGAAGGAACTATATAGCTTTTTTGTTTTCTGGGTCGCTATCGATTCAGATTCTCCTAGTTAAAACTTGTTTGATGGTACAGACTACACATTTGAAAAAGAAGATAAAACTACAACTAAACAGATCTTACAAGATATACATACTTCTACGGAAGGCCTGAGCAAAATCAGAATATGACAATCATACATTCAGGCCACCAGACTACTAATAGAATTTAAAACCTTTCCAAAGCTTTGATAAACAACTGAAAATTTTCTTCTATTCAGCATATCCTCCTAACGCTGTCCTGGTTGTGGCTGCACAACTACATCGCTGAGATCAGATTCGGCATGCCGTTCTAGAACTAGAACCGCTATTTTCACTCCAAAACAATACCTAATTGATGGGAAAATTTCAAGCTAAATGTCACTATTTTTTTTTTTGTGAAGAGATCATACTCACAAGGTAAAAATGGCCAAAAATCGAGCAAGAGTACATTAGTATAAGATAAAAGAAATGGAAGACATGTACCAGTCAGCAACTGTAAGTATTAAGAAGTTCAACTTGACATATCGTTATTCAGCTTCGTGGTAACAATTCCTGCAGCTACTGTTTTTGTATTGACATCATATGATACTAGGACTTCCCTCTGAACCAAACAACATTAACCGGTCAACATTAAAGAATATCCCAAGTTTTAAAAAACCATATAAATGTAAGATGAAATCAAATAAGTCATCAATACCCAGTTCAAAATCTTAAGGAAATAACACAAACTATGTGAGAAGTCAGAACATCAGGGCGATTGAAGAGAGAATGTTATCAGTCCATTGAACACTCAAGATAAAACATGTTATCTCATAAAGAAATTCACATGAAGTAATACTGAAGCTTCTAATTTTATTAGCAACTCAAAGTCATCTTATGTCTACCATCGCAAGTCATATGTGCAATTTTTGTGAAAAGCAATATATCAGCGCCACATTGTTTTTCATACCAAAATCTAGAAGGGTATCAGGCTTGACAAGGATAACATAGTCTCTGACAAACAATAGAAACATATAGCTATGTGCAAAGTTACATGACACAATTACAAGTATAATAACATGAAATAGTAATACTAGTAATACTCACAATTGGCTCAAAGTCTGGACTAGACAAGTTGATACTGAGATTTCTCATCAACAACAAAACCTGCAGAAATAACCAAATATTACTACTGGCACATCACCTCTCAATATTTATAACTAATTACAAGCACATATCTCATTTCACCTTGATTTGTAGTAATTATTATCAGGCACATATTTGTTTTGTAAAGCCTCAACTCATAACACGTTAAGCCTCTGCAGAGATAGGGAGGAGAGAGAGAAAGAGGGGGGGTGTTGTGGCAAAGTCCAACCCTATCTGTGGACTTTGTTCAAAATAGACTTTTACCAAAAACCACCATAATACAGGGTCATCTGATGACATTGACAAGTAAATATTATCTCTAGAACTAATAGACAGGAGCCTACAGGGAAAAAAAGGGTGCTACTTGTTATGCCAGGTCATAACAAGTTAAGTCTCTGCAGAGGGAACACGCACTCATGTTGAGTATCTTGAAAAGTCTAGACTAGAGCACTGATCTATGGACTTTGTTCAAAATAGTTTTTGGCCAAAAACCACCATAGTACAGGGTTCTTAGCTCTCTGATGACATTTACATTGTATCTCTAAAAAGGATAGACAGGCAAATCTTACACAACTTCAGGCATTATTAGAAAATAGCAAGAATAAATCATTGAAAGTGATGTGGTTTTATTCAACTCACAGTTTCGAAATTGATGGGATCCATCTCCCTGAGTTTCTGAGCATGGCCTTTTGAGTCTGGATCAAAAACACTCCCAATGAAGCTATAAACTTCAGAAAAATCAGGAATACCTGCAAAATATTGGAATATGTATGAAAATAGCCCACCGGAAACTTTCTTGAAATTCAAGTCGATGGCAGATATAGTAAAAAATTATGATTTGAGGATTACCATGAAGCAAAGGAGCTTGTTTCCCTTGCTCTGGTATCTCATAACTTGGTAGGGTTCTACTTGAGCTTTCGATTCCGCTTAGACTGCATTTGTTAATCGTTGCTAGCCCCTTTGATCTAATATCAGCTGAATCAGTAATGCCGTACCCCATAATAAGTGCTGGAAAGTTCTCAACAAAACTATTTGAACACAAGTATATCAAGCAAAACAAATTAAAAAAGAGAAAGTATACATACCTTCAGTTCCTTGAAAACTTGTAAATTCTTCATGTGACAACAGAATTTGGTTTGATGAAGGATTTATCATAATGGAAGTTTCATCCCAAGGAGAATAGGCAGATGCAATGGCATTCATCGAAGAAGGATACGCAATGGATGCTTGCAACGGAACTAAAACTGCCAATCCGATATTGAATAATTAAGGATGACAACAATTAAGTTTTAAGCTTTAGAAAGACACAATGCCACTATCTTTAACATGTGAGAACCATTTTTGGAGGCCTTTTGTGGGTAAGGATGAGCAGCCTTGCGCTTTGGCCGCGGAGGAGGCACATGAGCTGTTGTCCCGCTCTTTTGAACTTTCAAGAAGTATTTCTGAGCATGACTTCGAATCTGCAAAACCCCAATTCTTAAAACCTCTCAAATCTTAAACAGTCCCCAAAACCAAACCAGAATTGCTTGCTTCAAACCTGAATAACCGTTTTCGAACCCACAAAATCTTCAATTTTCTTCCAGTCACGGTCAAACCTGAAAATCCCACAAAACTTCAAAATCCACCAGTACCAAAATCTACTGTTTATAACTTACAAGACACTAAATTTTCCCACACTTTTCCCATTGCATCACTCCAGTCACAATTCTCAGACATGATCATCACCAGTAAGTGACTAAAACTAAAGTTTCAAACTGGAAAAATTCCAAATGAAACCCAGAACCCAAAAGAGAAAATCAAAAGTGAAAACAGGCCACACAAAAAGCAATGAAAACCCAACAAGCAATCAACCAAATTCACCAGCTACTTCAAATAGAATGGAACGTAATAAGCAAAGTAAACAAACAAAATAAAAAGTGAACTGACAGTTGAAGAGCTTCGAGGAACTTGTCGTGCTCTTCGTCGGTCCAGCTTTCTCTGGACTTGGTGATGGTGTAGGGCTTGCGGACCTTCTTGCCCGACCCGTCTGTGGGCGTTGAGGCTTCTCCCATTGATTGGGGGTTGTTGGAAGAAGTGGAGTTCATGTGGCTTTGGGAAGCATAAGACTCACTGAAGGAAGGAATGAGAGTTGGCGAGAGAGGGAAGAGAGAGAGAGGTGTCTGCGTTTCTGTGGCAGGTTGGGGTTTGTGTGTGTGTGTATGTGTGTTGGGAAATGCGAGGTGGTGGCTTGTAGGTGAATTGAGGCCGCCCAATTATTTGGCCACCAGTATTTCCCACTACGCCGATCTAATCGTCCCGCGTCTTCCTTTTTCCCTCGTGAGAACAGTTTTACTGTGCGGACAAATGTAGAGCAATTATTTGAGACTTGCAGATGCTGCTGTTTCGTTGGTCTTTAATTTGCGCGGGCGCAAGGACCCCAATCCATGTGCTTCTGTTACTTACATGTGTTAATTTTGGAATGTTTTTTTTTTTTTTTTTTTTTTTTTTTGTTTGCCAAAGTTAAAAAAGGGCAATAGTTTTATCACACATACATACTATTAAAATGTCATGATCCTCATCAGAGTTCAAACTTGGACAATGGTCTATAAGTCATAGCTTTCACTTGACTAGACTCCGTTGACGAATTTTAAATGATTAGCTTGGATCCATCTCTCCAAGGGATTTTATTTCAATGAAAAAATATTAATCAGTAGTATAATATTAAATAATGTACCATACGTTTCAAAATTTGTATAAGAAAGTTGAAAATTATTCATACCTATCGTTAAGGGAGTGACTTTACACATCCCGCTTACGAATACTAATTCTTCTCAAGTTACATTGCCCATTATAACAATTATGAAGTCAAACTATATAATAAGCTCAATCTCATACTTGTATGATATCTTGCTCTTGTACCAAATTATAAAAACCTTGGGTAGAATTTGACTTTACAAAACTGACTTGCAAGAAAAAATGCATTAGAGCTCGTATATTATTGTATATACATTGATTTGTATTAAAAAATTTAGAGAATTCTTGTATTATTTGACAAAGAAGATGTGAAATCACAAGAAAATGACAAGCATTTTTAGAAAAATAAGCTCTCTTTTACACACTTTGTGTCTTCATCCAACTACATCAATCGCCTTCCCCTATTGGATGACATAAATTGAATATCGATGAGAGTTGCGCCAATATCCTTCAAATGATTAATTAATGCTAGTGGTTTATTAAGAAGCACCTATGAATTAAAAGGTTTTGTTCGTAAACTTGGTATATGTTGTATTTATTGGAGAAATTTTTTCATATCATAAGTTGTATACAATTATGATAAAACATGATTATACGTTCCAAAAAAAATGATTGTACAGAATCAGTTAAATCTAAGATTTTCTCTCATGCTGCTGCGGAGGATACATGAATAATGAAACATGTGAGGTACAAAAATTGCATTGTTTATTTCGAAGAGTATACAGTGAACATGCGTAAGACACTTGCAGGCTCATTGAATGATTATGGGGTGCGACGCAGAGAATCCGGCAACCCATGGCGTGGATGAATTCTTGGTTGGCCTCAAATGATGGGTCCCACTACCGATTTCTCGGTGATGCTACAGCCTACATGTAAGTCTCTCCTGTCCACTAGTATGATGCGCGTACAGCCTACGTGTAATTTCTCGGTGATATTACACTCACCAGTTGCCGACTGTTCGATCTTTTTTGAAAATCCCTTCTCACCCATATATAGAGTTGAAGTAATTCAAGAACTTGCTTACATCAACCTTTGTTTTGAAAAAAAAATATTTCCTCTGCACAGCAGCACATCAGTTAATAACTTGATCAAAGCTTCAGATGATCAACGGCTGGCAGACATTGGCTAATTCATCACTGGTACGATTGATGACATGGCAGTTAGTTAGTTAGTTAATTAGTTAGTCCAGATGTATTGAGTTAGTTATTGTTAAGCAGCTCTCAAGAATAGACTGGTATCTACGTACTGAGTAGTTTGATTAGTGAAATGAAAAAAGTATTTTCCAATTTGCTTTACTCACCACACCTCACAGTTTTTTTGTTTTGTTTTGTGTTTTTTTGTTAACTACAGCCCAAAAACCATTTATATTTATCATAACAGGAAAATAGTAAGACTGAAAATGAAACATCCACACGAAAGTGTTATTCTTGTAACTGAATGAAAACAACTTTTGTCGCTGGCATCAATTTTACGTGACTAGTCATGTGATGAGAAAAATATATATATATAATTATAATTTATCATGAAAATGTCAAACAATTATTGAATTATGTATAGTCAATGACAGTAAAAAATCTCATGTGTCTTAGCGTTGAATGATAGTTATCTTAAAACAATATTAGAAGAGTTTTTGGGACAACTTACCATGTTGATGCAAGTGGAGCTCACAATGCACTGATAGACTTCACTTACTATCAAGGGTTGGGAGTTTGCCAATGTGTGCTATTTGTATTTTTTTTTCATAAAATATTTGAAACATCCATACATTTTCATTTATCTTTTATTCGAGAAAACAAAAGGAAAAAAAAACAAGCTAAATAAATATTTAAAGGAAAGTACTTGTCTCATTCCATGGAAGTACGAACTCATACTTTTCTATTAATCAGAGTTTGACACGTGTGCTGAGATGCTTATTTTTGTATTTTTAATGAATTACTTTTGCATATATATCAAACTTTGATTTGCAGGAAGTAGAAATGTCGCTTTTGATGTAATGTAAGGAGAGAAGCAGTGTCCATATATATATATATATATATAAGAAAATTTGAAAGCCAGGTAACATTGGGACACGTGTCAAAGTGAGAGAAGGCGAGGGAGAATTAGAGGCTGGGCAATCTCCCAGTGTGATAAGACCGTACGGAAATGTTAGCGCCACGAGATCATCAGCAGTGGCTAGCACGGGATTACATTGGATTGGAATATTCTTTGGTTTGGGTTTGGGATGTGCAAATGGATATTCAAGCTCGAATAGGAAGCTTAACATCCTCACGTTATTTCTGGACCACTCGAAAACATAACTCTTCATCATCATCTTCTTCTTCTTCTTCTTCTTGTTACTCGCCACTGAAACCTTTCTGTTCAAGAAGGGACTCTCAAGAGCCCCAGCAAAACGGTGACTCCAACGGTACTTTACTAATTATTTTTTTTTTTTTTTTTTTTTTTTTTTTTTTTTTTTTTTTATTATTATTTTTTTAATGTTAGTGTTTGGATGTAAAATTGAGCTTCATCTATGATGATGTGCTTCTAATTGTTTTGGATTTCCCACCAAGTTTTGGTTGGTCATCACTTGGCACTTGGATTGGATGAGTTGGTGTTTACCAGTTTTAATTAAGGTTATTAGTGAGTTTTAGTGAATTTCAATCTTGAAGGTTTCATTCATGCATAATGGTAGTGAGATGTTATGTCTTACCAAGTAATTTTACAAGGTGATTAAAGGAGGGAGGGTTTAACTCGAGAAAGTTTCGCATTTACCCATCGCTCGAAAGCAGCACGTGATGGGTAAATGTGAAACAGAGGACATATATGACCGTCTCACCTTAAAACTTTTGCTATGTATAATGCTCTTTGTTTCTTTCTTCCAATACTAGAAAAAGTTCGAATCACTCATCATCTCCCGTTGTTTGAACAAGTACGGATAGAGGTTATTTAGGTGTGTCTAATGATTAAACTGACCATATAGTTCAATGTTGATCAACATACACCTCAGGTGATAAATTCTCAACAGATTGGGACAAGGCCTGGTCAAATATCAGAAAGCAAGGGAAAACGAAGAAGAAGAAGAAGAGCTTCTTCTCACAGTTCTCTCCAAACAAGTATGTGACCTGGAACCCTACTCGGTCTAATTACCCATCATCTGAGGAGGTTGATCCAATCAAGAGGACAGAGAGGTCCAACCTCATGTTATGGACTAGCCCCAGGTTCACTCTTGCAGGGGCTATTGTCATTGTCACCTTCCTTTTGGTTTATACCATTATTGCACCAGTTAAGTGATTTCAAAACTCCAACCAAACACAGGGGCTCAAATGTTGTAAATATATGATGGCATTTGTGAGGAAATTGCTGCTGGGATGAAATTCTAACAATGTGACTTGTTATAAATAAATGCAAGTTCTTGTTTATCCAGTTGTTGTTAATTTCTATCCATCCCAAGCATCGTTAATTTTTCATTTGCAGAGAACAGAAACATTCCTGTACAACATTGATGTTGATTATAAGGGCTCGTTTGAAAAGCGATTCTGGATAGGCCAATAATCACTTCTTCTCCCCATTAGTGATTCTTGCCCTCCCTAAATCTCTCCCAAACTAGCCCTAAGAATCAGATTCCCCTTGATATGTCCAATTACAGTGTGATTATCTATATAAGCAAGCAATGCTGTTGAATAAAAGGAAATGTACATAAATTAGTTGAGCAGAGCATTTTGCTTGGTATTTCACAATTCGAAGGAATTTAAGGTCAAGATTACATCAAAATATGCTTCTCCATTCTTTCAAAATAACTGATAATTGTTTATAGTGCTGAACTACAGTCCTCTAAAGAAGAAGAAAAAGCAGACAGACAAACAAAAGCAACAAACACATGCATGTAGGATCACAGCTTATAACCCACTTCTATTATATGCAGCAATCAGAAAACCCAACTGTTGGTGTTTATCATAAGCCTTTGCCATTGTGGATAATTATTATGTCTATATTCAGCTTAAAAAGAGAGAACCAGAAAACCCCGTAAGTCATCAACAAGTTTGCCATTAAGTTTTGTAGCCTAAGCAAAACCTAGTGTAGTTATTCTACATGTTTGATCTCCATGCTTATGCTCCCACTTTTTTGTGGCCCCTTCACCAGAAGAGGACATCTGTTAAGGCTTGTCTGCTCCTTGCACCAGCAAAGCCTTTTCAAGTCCTTTTCAAAGGGGACAGTGGAGATTTCGGGTCCAGACTTATTCACAAAGATTTATGTTCAAGAAATTTTTTTTTATTGCTTGCCTGGTCATTTTAAGACCATGGACTTGACTGAATCCTTGGCTTTGAGTCTTTTAGCCAGTCTTTTATCTCATCTAATTTATTATTTTCCTGTTTGCCTTGCTTGACTTTGTAATCTTGGATTGGACCTAGAAGCTTAAAAAGGATAACATAAACACTATATTTTAACTAGCTTTTCTATCTTCTTTTGTGTAATTGTGGAGAATGTGAACATGATTAACCCAATTAAAAAAGAGCAACCAACTCATCATCATTTGAAAGTTTTGCAGTAGTTGACATCAGATTTTGAGTAACATGTCACTAATTTTTGTGGGGGAATTGAGCTTGACTGAGTTTGAGATTCACTTTTGGAAGCAATCTCTATATTTAATTATGAAAATTTGAGATTAAAATACTAAATGGAATTTAAATTAATCTTGTAAAATAGTGCATTTTCTAATCATGCATGCTTTTTGAACTCACAATAATAGATAAATAAGGCCTTAGCAGCCTCTCCTTCAGCTCTCACTCTAATCCACTTCAACATTATAAAAAGCTGTCTCATTCCCATTTTCTTTGTACTTGGAAACAAAACATTGGCTCTTTCAATTTTTGTATTCTTCCTCATATTCCAAAACAAATGGCTCTCCCTATTGAACAAGCCAAGCCTTCAAACACAAGCAAGGCCAGGCTTCCTCCAAAGAGAGGCCAGATCAAAGTTAAGATAATATCCAGTTTTGTCAAGTTGTTGGTTGGAGTAGCTTCAAGAGTTGGGAGAGGGCTGAGCCGCCATAGAAAGGTGGCAACGCAGGAAGCGCAGGCACCTATGCAGCCCGAGAAATAGCGATCAAACCGCTTGTAGTTCATATCAGCATTGATGTCTTTAGCTGCAATGGAAGCAAGTTCCACAAGCCTCATCCATCTCTCCAATATTGCCTCTCAACTCCTTCATCTAACCTTCTATATTATATATATACATATGGAGAGTAGCACATGCCCTTCTGTTAAAAATGTATGAGGCGTGTCTAATGGGGTTTGCTTTCAATTTGATGTACTGATCCTATCATAATAAACTTTTCTTTTTCTTCTCACTCTTTTCTAATTTTATTACATGTCCTTCTTATAAGAAGATTGTACAACAAGAAATCGGTCACGATCAACTCTTTGTTTTCTGCATGAGTTGATGAGTTCAAACTACTGCTTACCCTGTTGCTTACCTATCGAGCTCAGCTCATATTGTTGGCTTTACTAGAAATGTCTTCGCAGGTTTACCTACGTTTGAGCTTGCTTAAAATTTCATGCAGCACATCAATCTTTTCTTTCACGTCTTTAATTGTTTTCTTGACCTAAACCCAGAATTCTTGTAATTCTCTTAACTGGTATAATTCAATCCGATAAGACAATGATGCAGATATCATAGATATTGTTATTATTTGACATTATATCCTTGTCATTGTTTGATTATTGACATCCTTACACGCAAGGGAATACATTGAGAAATTATGAATCGGGGAAGTCATGAATAGGGGATAGGAAAGAGAGAATGAGTATGGGATCAATTACTTCCCTAAGCAACCATGAATTTGAAAAATTCTAATACCTGTGTATATGTGTTAGTAAACACATACGAAGTTAGGGAATTAGAAAAATGAACACGTGTAAATTGGTCCTTCAAATGATCATTAATCCCCCCTCCCTCTCCCCCCTCAGAAGGTTCATGAACCCAATAAAGCTCTCTGTTTCACATTTTCATGGCGTCATGCTGCTGATGCAGGGCGTATATCAATATGTCAATGCTAGTGTACAAAAACAAAATGATTATGCACTTAACAAGTATCTTGGTAATTTATTGTCATATTAATTGTTGGATTTTTGCAAAGCTGTCTTTGCCCCACATTTGATGCGACATGTTAGGCATGGAACACAAAAGAGTGAGAGATGTGTGTTGGTTCCCTTAATGGCTATGGAACCTTTATGTTAGGCAGGGTCGTTTGGATTTACACATCATTTCACACGGTTATTTGGATTGATGTATCCCTTTGTTGGTCACTTTAGCCGACACAAAATGCTTATTGCTTAATCTTTGTGGTACTTGTGGAGCCATATAACAGATGCTTGATTTTGTCTCTCTTTCTTTGCTCAAAGGAGGATGAGGGTTTAGAGAGCGCCGAGGGTGAAAGTCCAACCCTTGCCGTGGACGCAAGAGTAAGTTTTCTACCATTGGAGTTGAGACTCATCTCTTTATAGCAAAACTTATAACCTCTCAAAGTAACATGTACTTCACGTCCGAGAGGATTAATCCGTCATGGTGGATCGGGTGGTGAAACTCTATGAACTTTATGATTCACTCGCCAGCGTTCTTGGTTGTTGAGCTGTTTATAGCAAAACTTATAACCTCTCAAAGTAACATGTAATTCACGTCCAAGAGGATTAATCCGTCATGGTGGATCGGGTGGTGCAACTTTATGAACTTTATGATTCACTCGCCCGCATTCTTGGTTGTTGAGACCAAATGAAGCCGAACAAGCAACCATACCACCCCATAAGGGAGATTAGTACCAAGCATCTGGCAGCACAAGACCAAGCACTTGACTAGCATAATCTCAAGTGAAACGTTGCTTACATGCTTTGACATCGTTAACTAAAATAGCATAAACTGAAAGGAGACATCACTTGCATCCTATGATGCTCGGGTAAATTACAGGGCAACGATTATTTTAATGTCCTCAAGTATGGGACAATCCTCCATGGAAAAGTAGATATTACACAAAAGCACCTAATGATCCGTAAGGGCAGTATGATCAATTATGGGTGAACTTTATAACTTTTTGGGGAACATCAGAGAGGTTGCCATCATTCAGGGGGCCATAAGTTTACAGTCCATAACACCGAGTCCACTAAAAAATGGATGCAGACTTTAGATTGCCTCTCTTCGATTAAGCAGCAGTGTCCGGCTCCTGAATTGTTACCTTAGATAAGCTTGCTTCTAACTCGTTTAACTCATCTATGTCCAGTTCGTCATCATCATCATCATTGGTAACTTCGGCACCACCGCCAGCAGTTGCTGAGTCACTTGGCCTATCTCCGTTAGAATTGGCACTGACCTGAAGTTGAACCAAATAAAATACAAGTGAAACAATTAACATATAGTCCACTCAGTTCAGTACTAGTCACATATTAGCATGCCACGGAAAAGCAACCTCAACTCCTCACAGGCATTCATGGACAATAACATAGAAACAGTAATCTTTAGCTTTAGCAGGCACATGCACTTTTATCTTATAACACTACATCCAGTTATACATTTATGAGATGGGGAAAAAAAGAGGGTGACAACTAATAAGTGAAAACTAACCATCTGTTCATCACCATAAAAATTAGAAAATAAACCTAACCTTCTGTTCAGCAACTGGAGGTTCTTGATCTCTTTGGTACTTCTCATGTGCCTCAACATCGTCCACAAATAGGCTAGAATCTGACAAAAATAGCTCACGGCCACTGCAAGGGAGGGACACACAATCAGTAAACAATATCCAAAAAGTTAGTAACTGGTCGGGGTGAACACATATTGGAGAATGTGGGAAAGAGAACACACCTCATACGGTCATTTTTAGCCCGCTCTGCCATTTGTGCCGCCAAACCGGCATCTCTTTCTGCCATCTTTTTCTTCTTCCATTGCATGAACAACTCAGTAGTCATAGGAGTTGAAGTCGTCACTTTAGCACGCTAAAACCAAACAGCTAATTGGTTAGGTGAAAAATATAAGGAAGATACCAATGACAAACCCCAATTCCTTCAGACAATCAAAATGTAAATGCTACGACTTGACGTAAAGGCTTGTTCAAATAACCTGATTTTCGATCTCCTCCTCAATCGGTATTTTTTCAGCCTCTTCCTCTAATAGAGCCTTCATCTGAGACTTTAAAACATATCCTGGAGGAAGAGCATGTCTGTAATGGCAATTTTTACCACCGTTGGGGCAGACCCAAAACCAACCGTATTGTTTCTTCTCCACTGCTTCCAGAAAATATTTACAAACCTGCACATATATCCAAAAACAAAACAAAAATTCATTTAGAAGTCTACCAAGCACATTGATGGTTCGAACATCTATATTCAATAAGCATGTATGAAGCTGAGAACTTGAAAGCATATTGTACAGACTGCCCTGGAGATAACTTACAATATCAGTCGGTTTGTTCTGCTGGTATTCATTTTTCTTTGATTCCACCACCTTCTCCAAAGTCTCTTGATCCCATTCCTCCATCGTGTCTTATATATATATATATAATAATAAAAAAATCAAACTCAGAAACAAAACAAACAAAAAGAAGAAAAAAAAAAAATTGCATTAGAAATCAAGCATCACAGTAAAGTAGAGTTCCTATACGGTACCGTGATCACGTTTATCACTGTAAATATCAATCTTTTCTCCTTTCCTCTGAATATTCAAATCATGGGAGAACTTGCATTTGAAACCTTTTGCACACTGCCCCGCTTTATAAAACTCGCATAGTATAGACTTGGGATCAACACCTAAACACATAACCATTAAGCATTATATCATATCTAAGTTTCAACAAGACATACGCATCAAAAACGTCAATCAACTGGTCATTAAAAAGGGAACACAATCACTTACCAACTGGTACTTTTGGTTGACTAACAGCAACCTTAAATAATTCATTCAGTTCCTTGTCCTTAGCCTTCTCTTCCTCCTTCTTTTTCTGTAAATAATACAAGTCTCACAAACAAAATTTCTCTCATTTATGAAGCAAAATAGATACTTTACCATTTAAAAGAAGCCAAAGTCTCAAACTCATCTATGTAAGATGAAAAATTTATCATGACCATGAAAATTCTAAATTTTGATGCTGAATCCAAATTCTATTTTCTAATTCTTAACTAAATTTTCCTTGTATTGATCAAACAAGAAAAACAAAATCAAGTTTCCTTTTCTTTTTTTTTTCCCTTCTAAAATTTGAAAAATAAATCAAGTTAATCAGCCAATCAAGCGAATAAATATTGATCAACGAAAGAAAAGATGGAGACTTGGGACCTTAGCAGCGGTCTTAGAAGGATCGGATTGGGGCTGGACGGACTGCTTGAGGGTCTGAACGTACTTCTGGACATTCTTGCTCTTGTTCTTGTTCTTGAGCCCGAAGGTCTTGTCCTCTACGATCTTCTGCTTCTTCGCCAAATCGGCCTTCGATTGCTGCTTCGGCGGCATCTCTCATCGGCATCAAATATTTCACTTCCGAAATTTCGGAAAACCTTTTTGTTGATCTCCTCCGTCCGATTCCGAAATGATGTCGCTGACACCGGTCTGGTAATCTGGTTAAGGAATTTGGACGAGACGGTCCAGAAGCTTACCCTTATGTGTATTTCCTGATTTACCCCTGGAAGTACTCAACGTGCAGGCTTATTGTGGAGCTGGTGGGTCTACCCTCGTGTAATTCTCCCGCTTTTCGCCAAATTGGCGCCACGTGGTAGTTACGCGTGAAAAATGTTGGTCTATTGACATTGAGGGAAAATAAACTACAAGTCGTTTCTTCACCGTAGCATACCAAATAACATTTTCTTTTTGGGATTTGCATGAACGACCGATTTTAGCACTATTTTTCTTTGAAAGAGAGGGAACGAACCATTGCAATATGTTGATAAAAGCTATTATTTCATTCTTTCTGGATTAATGTCATGAATTTCAGAAAATTCGGAATTTTGACCCTAAAGGATTAACGTGTAAAAATTCTCAAAAAATTGTAGAGGAATTGGACCTCCAAAACATATCTATTATTTCACAACGAAGAGGTCAAAAATTGTTTACTATTGTTTAGCTTGTAATGTGTATTTATTTAACAACAAAACAAATTGCTTAATCTATTATATTTATATATGACTTTCAAAACAAAAATTAAGTGTCATTAATATTGATGGTTGTAGAATTACATATTAAGAAAAGACCTCCAACCTCAGTTAACCTTCCTTTCATTGCACTCTACCCTTGCATTAAATTATGAAACTATATATTAACATATCACTCAAATATGTATAGGTGTTCAAATGAATTTATAGCGATAACATTTTAGTTTCCCCCAATATCTCAATTATAATTATGTCATTATCTCAAGGATTGTAAATGTATATGAACACAACAATCAAGGGTAAATACATGAAATAGTCAACTAGAAGTTTGTGAATAACCATAACTAATAAAAAATACTTCAGCCTTTGATTCGCTTATATATACACTCCAACATATATAACTCACATATATGTATATGTACTATAATACAATTACGTGGATAACTCGTCCACGTATTCATATAAGTGAATGTTTATTTAGAGGCATGAAATGTCAACTCGTGACCATACTACAATATCATATAATAATTTCTCTATAAATTTAAACTTTAAATAAGCAAAAAAAAAAGAAGCAATTTTTTCTAAGGTGCATCTAGCCAAGTTCAATGGTTCAAATAGAATCATCCCATGGCCTTTGAAATTCCGTTTAAATTGAGAAAAATCTCCCACAAGGAGACATCGCCACCCTGCCAACCCCAATCCTCAAAAACCCATATACCCCCACCCAAAAAAAAAAAAAAAAAAAAAAAAAAAAAAAAAAAAAAAAAACAAAACACACACACGGTTTCGGCCTTTGCTCAAGGTATGAGAGAGTTCATCATCCTTAGCTACTCTGCTTCTTCTTCTTCTTCCATTGCCACTCTTCCAAATCCCCACGGCAGCAACCACTCCACCAAACCCTACAAAGACAAACCCTTATCACTTCCCAAGCTATCTCCCTCCAAATCCTCTCCTCCAATCTCCACCGTCCATTCCCGCCCCCCTCCCCTCTTCGCCGTCCGATGGGACCCCACCAAAACGCACCTCAGCTACTTCGCCGACCTCGCCTCCAAGCTCGCCAGAGACGGCAAGTTCCAAGATTTCGCTATGGTTGTCGAAAGCGTCGTGCTTTCGGGTGTCCGAGGCTCCGAGTTCACAGCGGCGCTCAAGCTTGAGCTTGTGGCGAAGGGCATTTCGCGGCTTTTGAAAGAGGGAAATGTCCGGAGTGTCGTTGAGGTGTTGGGGAAAGTTAACGAGCTTGGGGTTCCGCCATTGAAGCTGTTTAATGGGTACGCTATGGAGTTGCTGGGAAGGCAGTGTAGCCAGCTTTTGAAATGTAAGCAAGTGCAGGAACTTGTTGAGCTCATGGAGGTTCTTGCAGGTAATTTTCTGTTAATTTCGTGAATTTTTTGTTCAATTTATTGCGATATAAACCTGCATTGTACTAATTTGTAGTCCAGTCCTGATTTTATGTTCAAAGATTTTAAATTGTTAGAGAAATGGTGAAGTAACCCAACTTTTGGAGTGCATTAGCATATATTTGACTCTACCCATATATATAATATAAGAAGATTTTTACTTCCTTTAGGCATTTTAAGTTGGGTTTTAGATAAGGGTGGTGCTAGAGGCACCAACTTTGGGCACCAACTCTCTAATAGAGGTGGAGCCCGCAAATACACTGGGTCCCACGCTCTATTAGAGAGTTGGTGCCCAAAGTTGGTGCCTCTAGCATTTTCCTTTAGATAAAGGGCTGTCAAAAATGTTAAATATTTGATCCTTAGTTTGTTGTTATGTGAATGGGAGAGGAAGAATCTAATGTTTCATGAGAATTTCAGTCTTGAAAGAATAATAATGTGATGAGCCATGGTAGAGAATTTGAGACTCCTTGGATTTGTAACAGATAATACTTGGTTCAGGTTTTCATTTCCCAATCAAAGAACTGCTGGAGCCATCTGAAGTTATCAAACTTTGTGTTGATAAATGTTGCCCAAAATTGGCCATAAGGTATATTTGACTGTTCTCTTATGAGTTGGTCTGAGGGTTTCTCTTATCTGTTCTGCATTGCTCAGACATGTTCTTTTAAGTGAGTTTTAAAAGAACTTTTTTCTTGTTCTTCTGTAACGCAGTTTTCTTCATTATAGTCTCAGTTAATGTTTCGGTCGCACTGAATCTTCATTCTTTTCTTCATTAGTCACTATTTATGCTTTGGTTATCACATTTTGCAGGTATGCTTGTATTTTTCCACATGCGCATATATTATTCTGTAACATTATATATGAATTTGGAAAGAGAAAGGCGTTGGAGCCTGCTTTGGCAGCATATGAAGCATCCAAGGAAAACTTGAATGGTTCAAATATGTATGTCTACCGTACAATAATTGATGTATGTGGTCTCTGCAAAGACTACATGAAATCTAGGTACATCTATGAGGTACATACCAACCTGACTGCCTTTGTTGTTTGCTACTGTTTTTCTTGATTCAATTTTCAGATAATAATGAACTTTCCTATAGCTCGGAACTGAGTTTTTAAATATCTCTGTTTTCATTATGAGCTCTATCGGTGGCATATGGCAAATGGAACACTTTCCTTCAAACTAAAATTTAAAAATTATTATTGCTTTTAATTTTAGTTTTATAAAATATCTTATGTATTTTTCTTCAGTTTCTCTATCATCTTCATCTCCTCACTCCCTAGTAAAAACACAAAACAGAAAACATCGTCATATACATTGCCAAAATAAATCCTTAGACATTTCCATAACTTTAACGCAGTCATGAGGTTAAAACTTGGGATCTTCTTTCCGGATTATTTTTGCTGCAGGACTTGCTCAAACAGAAGGTTACCCCGAATATTTATGTATTCAACAGTCTCATGAATGTGAACGCACATGACTTGAACTACACATTTCATGTATACAAGAGTATGCAAGTAATGCTCTCTCTCTCTCTCTCTCTCTCTCTCTCTCTCTCTCATACTACTGCACACATAATATTTTTCTTTCAATGTTACTCAATAGATCAATTTTGGCACTATGTTTTGCATGTGGCAATCGGTTTGAATGCATAATTGTTTTGTAATGATCAAGCTACAACTATCTAAATCTATTTATTTTCTTTGTCTAGAATCTTGGTGTCAGATCAGATATGGCATGCTATAATATCCTTTTGAAGGCATGCTGTCTTGCTGGACGAGTTGATTTGGCACAAGATATTTACAGGGAAGTCCAGCATTTGGAATCAACAGGAGTGTTGAAATTGGATGTCTTCACATACAGCACTATTGTAAAGGTAAATATGAATTTGGAGTTATTATATTTTTGCTTTTGATAGTAATATGCAGACATATATACATAGATCCTATTTTGCTTCAATTCGTACTTAGTAGCAATGAATTTCCATGTAGTGAGGCACTTTACTATGTACATAACTGATGACCAATTATCCAGGTCTTTTCAGATGCAAAATTGTGGCACATGGCTCTAAACGTCAAAGAAGACATGCTATCAGCAGGTGTTACACCTAATACAGTTACATGGTCGTCATTGATCAGTGCCTGTGCAAATGCAGGTATTGTTGAGAAGGCAATCCAGTTGTTTGAAGAGATGCTTCTGGCTGGCTCTGAACCTAATTCACAGTGTTTTAACATCCTTCTACATGCTTGTGTTGAGGCTAACCAGTATGATAGGGCTTTTCGCCTTTTCCAGTCTTTGAAGAGCACTAAAGTCCAGGAGACTTTTGGCAAAAAGTATAAAGGTATAGCAGTTTGAGTGGAGCTTAATTATGAACATTGGATTACCACTATGCCGTACCACTTCTGATCTGATGTCATCTAAACTTTGCTAAAGGGCTTTCTTTTAAACCCACAACTACAACATACAATACTTTGATGAAGGCCTGTGGTACTGACTACTACCATGCAAAAGCATTATTGGATGAGATGAGAGCAGTAGGTCTTTATCCTAATCAAATAAGCTGGTCAATTTTGGCTGATATCTGTGGAGGCTCAGGAAATGTTGAGGGTGCCTTGCAGGTAAGGCATAAATTTGGTTAACTTAATCTTTGATAGTTCTGTTTGCATCATTGTTCAAATTTTTGTTCAGCCTACATAGTTTTTCAGAACCAAAACTCCAGGTAAATGTCCTTGGAAAAGTTATGGTTATCACTGGTTAAATTCGGATAATGTACAAGTTTGTAATCATATCTTGCACTTCATACATCAGGAAGTTTTTTTACAATGCCACTGAAATTCGTTACTTTCTTGGAGGTCAAAAAGCTTTTAACCTAGCATCAGTGAATCAAGTGTCAGGGAATGAACTGAGAATAATCCTATTTTCTTGTGATAAATAAATGAAAACTTTTCTTTAGAGATTAACATAATTTTGTGTTGTTGGCTCCCCCTTTTCTTGATGTCATTGTACAAAATCTTGATGAATATGCAAGTTCAAGGAAAACATTAATAAATTTTTATTTCAGTGCAGATTCTGAAAAATATGCGTGCAGCTGGGATGAAACCTGATGTTGTTGCATATACAACAGCTATCAAGGTTTAAAAGCTTTCCTGATTCACTATTGATCTTGTTTTGTAACCACTGCTCTTCCCACCTATGCTTAATTAGCTGCAAAATTGCATTATTTATTTGCCTCAGATGTTGATAAAACATATCCTTTGGTTCATAGGTCTGTGTGGAAAATGAAAATTTGGAGCTAGCATTGTCACTGTTTGCAGAAATGAAAAAGTATCAGATACACCCAAATTTGGTGAGCATCAATAATTAATGGTTATAATTTCAGATTATAAATCTTAACACATTCGCATGAATCACAAATAATTCCATATAACTACCAAGTCATGATTCTGCTTATAAAGGCATTCTCGATCAATTCAACTTGTAAATCCATGATTATTTTTTAAAATTATATTTATTTTCCTTTTCCAGGTGACATATAATACACTTCTGAGGGCTCGTAGCAGATATGGTTCTGTAAGCGAAGTACAACAATGCCTGGCTATATACCAGGATATGCGGAAAGCAGGGTATATATTTATCAGCATATATTTTAGTTTCTCATGGACATCTACATTTGACTAATTACGCATTTACTTTGCAGTTACAAATCTAATGATTATTACCTCGAGCAACTAATCGAGGAGTGGTGTGAAGGAGTTATACAAGACAGCAACGCCAAACAAGAAGAGTTTAGCTCATGCAACAAAACTGACATCGGGAGACCTGGAAGTCCGCTGCTTGAAAAAGTTGCAGAACATTTGCAAACGCATATTGCTGAGACCTTAGCAGTGGACCTTCAAGGACTGACGAAGGTATTCTTCAACCAGCCAGTTTATATTCTACATGTTTTGAGAATACCAGTCTCTGCGAACTTGTTATTATGCGATTGTGTCTGTGCACTTTTTATCTATTTTTTTTCTCATGCTAATATCCTCTTTTTAACAGGTTGAAGCTCGGATCGTTGTTCTTGCAGTTCTACGAATGATCAAAGAGAACTATACCTTAGGTATGAACATATTGCTTTACGAGGCATTCATTTCAGATGCCTTTATCTTATTTGAGAAGCCATTTATTCAAACATATTTAAGAAAGGGTAAAATCAGATTTAAAATACATAAGCAAATGATAAAAGGAAGAAGAAGCTTAGGATCCAGAGTTTCTAATTTTCATGCTGATGTTAAGACTTACTGATGGTTACAGGACATTCCGTAAAAGATGACATGCTGATCGTCGTAGGAGTCCATGAGGTTGATGGATGCTCAACCACACAAAATTTAGAGGTGAAAGATGCAATAACCAAACTTCTGCAGGATGAATTGGGGCTCAAGGTTCTTGCAACAGGAGCTAAAGTTGGACTTGATACTACAATAGAACCAGGGAACACTACTGATTCAGATAAAGATTTAGAAGAAATGTCAGGGAGGGATGAACTACCCGCAGAGTTGATCTATTCCACGCGAAGACCCGTGCCTTTAGAAAGGCTAAAGGTAACCAGGGGATCACTGCAACATTGGCTGCGGAGAAGAAGTGCTCCTAGAAGGTGACTGCTTCATCAGTAATTTGTACATGCTACTAAATAATCGATAATTATTTTTCCTCGTGTATACTGTAACATGGAATAAGCCTGTATCGGATTCGTACCGGTGTCACATGTAAATTATATACAACAGGGCAAATTTAATTTGCTGAAGCAATGAAAATAAAGCAATTTTCCTTGTGTTATACTATTATACCCTTAAGTTCACAACTGAAATAGATTGTAGCGTTTCCATAATCTGAATAGAAATGCCTCAACTAATTTCCAAACTTGCAATCCCCTAAGAAACACCAATTTTTCATACAAGCCGAATCGAATTTGCGAAATTTTTGTTCATTCATTTCATTCCTTTTCCTTACAATTGAACAATTGAAGAGATATTACAGCACTTCATAGCCAAATGTGAGTAAATCCATGACTTACTTACCACCACAAAACTTCCACCAAACTCAACCCATGGATCATATCCAATCCTGCTCCTGCAGTTTTAGCGGCAAATAAGTCTCTGAGAGATATTGAAAGCCGAATGTGCTCAAAGCTTGAATTTCTGCCTTTTGCTTGGTTTTCACCATAAGAGTCAGCTCCTCAACCCATTTCGGGTTTTTCTTCACAAAATCTTCCTCCAACATTTCTTTCCCTGTCTTAATATCCTGATCAGTCATTGTCAACCTACACTGCTCCGGTATCTTGTACTTGTCCAAATCACTGGGCCGTATCCCCAACCATTTTATATCCGGCGTCGTCAAATTGGCACTGTCATACGACATGTTCTTCGATCCACAACCATAAACAGATAAAATTTTCAGCCCGTATGGATCACTGTCCACAAGGGCCAACACCGGCAGTTTCAATTCCAGCTTCATCTTCCTCAAAAACAGCCTGGTTGCAACATCCGGCTGTCCCTTGGCAGTGACGATAATGCATGGAAATCGATTGTAAAACCGATCCTCAGCCAGTCTAATATAAGCAGCATCCTTCTCAACCAGCAATATAAACAGAGCATCACTCTGCATATCACCAACTCTGTCAATATTGGGCGGGATGGCTTTCCCGCCCATTCCCATTTTCGTGCAGTCAATCAAATCTCCATTGTCGCTGAAAATCAGGCGACCCACAACCACACCCTTCTCAGAGGCGATGACATTGAGGCTCGAGCGCGTGCAGCCAAGCATACACGACACGTCGTCGAGGACGGAATCGGACTGCGTCTGGTCCTGGAAGAGCTTGACGTCGGTGTAGAACAGGTCACGCTTGGTGACGTGGATGTTCTTGAGGCAGAGCTGGTGGATCAGCTGGAGAAGACGAGCTGTGATGGTGGCCTTGCGGACGGTGGAGACGTTGGCGTAGGGGCGGAGGGAAGTTTTGTCTTTTAGCACAATGCGGTCGAGCTCCGGAACATAGAGCTGGTTAGCGGCGGCGCGTGAGGGGACCTCGAACGCGAAACCATTGCCGTCGAGGATGGATTTGATGACCTTGAGCATCTGGAGCTCGATCTCCGACTGGACGGACGGCAGGTCGAGGTCGCTGACCTCGCGGCAAGTGGAGCCGACGGCGAGGTCGGCGAGGGTTATGGATTTGGAAGAAGAAGATGAGGAGGCGGTGGCGGAGCGGAGGTCGTCGAGGGTTTGGAGGATGAGCTCGTCGGGTTTGAGGAGGCTCTTGAAAGGGTGATGGGTGTCGTCGTCGGAGCTCGGGTCGGGTCGACGGCGTTTCTTCTTGTCTGCAACCGTTGTCGGCGTTTGGCGTTTTTTCTTGTCTGCCATGAGTTTTGTTGGTGGTGTGATTTTTTGGGAAAGCGAGATAGGGTTGGTTGAAGAAGCGGGAAGCTGAGTCTGTCGTGTAGCTTATGTCTGCAAACTGGAGGCCCGAAGGCCCAAATAAAAACCCGAACTAAGCTGAAAGAAATCTGGGCCTAGCACCCAATACGTTTTCTGGACCTGATTTAAGTTTATGTTTGGTTATTATTTTGATTATTTTGGGGTTTAATTATTTTAAGAAAAGTTTTTTTTCTTCTCTTTTTTCCAAAATTTTCTTTCTTGGTGAATGATTAAGCGTGCTGTAGTCATGCCTCAGTTGGTCAAGTAAAATTTTGTACCATCAATTTTCTTTATCTTATTTCAACGGTCATCTTTATAAAAATAAAATGACATCTAAAATTATTTGATGGACATCGAATCCAACAAATAGAAAACATGTAATGCAACATCAACATAACAATCCAAGATTGTCAAAGCAAAATGCAAGAAACAATGATGAGAATAAATTAGCAAAGGCACAACTACAAAACAAAGAAGACAAAAGGTTCTTCCAAATGTTAAACCATAATCTCTTTTCTCTCAACAGGGAACTCTAAGTCACCCAAATGATCACATTCAGGAGAGAGTGCCAAAAAAACATAAAAAAACACTCAAAATCCTGCAGTGTTGAAGTTTGCTTGATCGGATTCTTGATAAAAAATTGTTCCATAAATCCTGCAGTGTTGAAGTTTGAAAGACAATAAAAAAGATACATTAATGACCCTGTTTTCAAACAAGAAGTGCAAATTTAGTGCCATCTTGAGGAACAAAGCAACATGAAAACAAGGGAAGGGCTATGCATACCTTTCAGCTGCAGATTCGTTAAAAGCTTTCCTCGCATGGCATCACCTTCCAAGGGTTGAGCTGATTGGGAAACTGCCACAATTGGTTGAATGTCTCCATCACCTTCCTACCCTGTTATTTTGGATAAGAAAAAAGCCTTGAAAAGAATTGCAACCTTGGAAGCTAAAATTTGGAGAAAGTTTGACAAAAACTCATCAGAAATTCCTCAAAATTATAAAAATTAATCTTTGATTGATACGAAGCAAAAACAGAAGCTGTATAAAGAAAAAGTACACACTCTAATCTAATAGATGCCGCTGCATAAGCTGATAAGGAAAAGATACAACAAGGCTGGGGAAGAGTACAAGTATAATAATGCACCGACAATTGGGAATTGCTTGTACCTTATAATTACAATCTGCAATCTGCAATCTGCACCCCATGATCAACACCTATCTCTCAACCAACTGATCAAAACCAACTTTGGTCAATGCTGCTTGTGGAAAGAAAAAATTATAGGCATTGGCAAACAGAGTTAATATTCTTTGTAGACATGGGTTTAGAAATAAATATGGTACCTTTATAAGAGTGAATGTACTTGAGGTCAATAATTTTCACAACAACAATGCACACTACTTTCAACCATTTCGCATTTCAGAATACACTTTTGAAGATTATTGAATTTGAGTTCTGGTTCCATCCAGGTTCACAAATCTCGAATAGATCACGACCATTTCAAACCGTCAACTGCAGAGGTTTAGAAAATAAATATGTTAGAAACTTACACATTATTTGATCCCTTGGAACCTTGAATTTACATGTGGAGTTATAAATCATCCCTGAGTTCTATATGAATGTAGAGAAGACTTGAAAACTCAGAGAGTTTAATTTGTTTTGGTTTTCAACTTCCGAGTGATTATAAATCATATCTTTATTTGAAGTAATTGACTGATTAAACTAAAATGCGAATAGAAGATAACAACCTAATTAATGATAAGCGAGAACAAATCGCACAAACATTTTTTCTTATCGGTTTACATGATTAAACAAGTCAAAGGGATGGTAAACTAAAATTTTTATAATGTACTAAACAAAAAACAATCAAGTTAAGTTAGATAGGGCTTCTCTAGTAGGCCCAGTCCCATATGTAATTTTGTTTTGTTGTATTCGGGCTTAGCCCCCAATTCACCAAAAGAAGATTTTTATTTTTATTTTTTAAAGTAAAGAGAAGAAAATAATTGATTTCAAAACCAAAGAAAACAAATAATAAAATTGAAAAACTTAGAGCATCCATAATGGGCTCTCTAAACCACCTTCTTAGACAAATTTTAGGGAGGAATTGTAAAAATGAAACTCCAACCATGCTCCCTATCCACCTCCTAAAATAGGGAGTTCTCTAGGAGCTCCTAAATCTGAGGAGAGAGAAATGACTCCTAGTGGCTCCCTATAATTTAATGCTGCTTTATTTAATGAGTATTTCAAACCTTTATTTAATGGTAACTATCTTTTATTTTGTTTTTTTAATAGAGATGGACCAATCAAAGAAAACAATATAAAATTGAAAAACTTACAATAGATGTTTGGAATATGTGAAATCTTGGGTCATTCTGGGTCGCTGTCTTTATTGCATCTCTCTTTCAGAATAGGACAATTGTAAATCCGTATGTACTGTAATTTGGCGAGACATTTCATAGGTTCAAGTGTAGGTAGATACATCAGATCATTGCAGAACCATATACTTAGGTTCTCAAGAGATGCAAGATTTCCTAACCACTCTGGAAGAGCCTCCATGCCATGGAAGGAACATATTGACAAAGAAGTTAGAGAAGTGAAGTGTTGAAGTTCTTGAGGGAGAGAGTTGAGCTTCGGCCAACCAAACAAGGTTAATGTTTCAAGTTGTGGAATAACCTGAAAAGCAGGGAAGGAATCGAGCTCCTTCCAGAACCCACCAATTTCCAAATTCTTTAAGTTGGTGAGGGATGCTGCAAACACACTAGGGGGTACGCTTTTTAATCCCTCACAGTTATAGATCTCCAACTCACGGAGTTGTATGAGGCTGTCTAAACTTGGAATAGCTTCGAGATTCCTGGAATTCCTTAATGACAATTGCTCAAGAGAGGTACAATGTTGTAACCCGCTCGGTAGGCTTGATAATTCATCACAAATTGAAATCTCTAATCGGCGGAGGAATGGGAGGCCGTGTGTGATTGGAATAGCTTCGAGATTCTCGCAAGAGTAAATAGACAAGTGCTCTAGAGAGGAACAATGTTGTAACCCACTCGGTAGGCTTGATAATTCATCACAATTTGAAATATATAATTCCTGGAGGGATGGGAGGCCGTTTGTAACTGGGATGCACTCCAAACTTTCACAATGGGCTATAGTCAACTCCTTAAGAGAGGTGCAGTGTTCTAGCCCATGAGGCAAAGACCTAAGATTAGGACAGGAATAAATACGCAGTGACTCAAGGGATGCACAACAACCATATACATCGGCAGCAATACAAATGAACTCAGGACACTATCTTATCTCCAAATATGCAAGATTCTTGTTGTTTTTTAACATCCCTTCCGGCAGAGAAACAAGTCCCCTTATCTTCTTTATTGTGAGACGAGTAAGAGTTGTCAGTTGAGTGCTTATAATATTAGCTATCGGCATGCCGCTATTCATGGAATCTATCTCCAACTTCTGCAAACATGGAAAATGATCTGTGGGAGCACTTCTCAATTGATCACAATTCCTCAACAACAACTCCTCAAGGCGAGAAAACACCACTCTTCTTTCTGTTGTTGAAAATACTGCATCTTCTTCCGTCCTCCATTCAGTTAGGTTCTTTGCATTTTCAACAGTTAATCTTTTCAATGAAGAAAACAAATCTCCACACATCATCCAGGGTGGAAATGTCTCACCACTAAAGTTGCGAATCTCTAAACTTTCCAGTGCAGAGTGCGGTTTAAGGCCTTCTAGTACATTCCTGTCATTATTGATGACCCTTGACCTGTATTCGTCTGCCGACCATTCCAACTTCAGTCTGCCTATGTTTGTCTTCTCTGCTAACTTTGACTCCTTTGCTTCTTCTCCATCTCTCACATGCTCCAGATCATAAATAGATAATTGGCCCTTCAAATGCTTTAAGCCACCCAGCTCCTTTATTCTACGACCCCTCTCCTTACCCACAATGAAAAAGGATAATGATCGCAGATTATTCAACCGCCCCACGCCAACTGGATAACTTTCGTCTCCATAATAAACAGCAAAATAAATATGTCTCAAGTTGATCAAATTTTGCAGTTCCTTGGGATCTTCAAATAGGAGATAACGCATTCTTAACGTCTGTAGGTTATAAGCTTGCCAATATATTGGGGGAGCTTTTTGATATTTGTTGCTGAAATATCTAGATACCTCAAGTGTTTCAACTTTCCAATTGAATTTGGCAACTCATCAATAAAATCCCCCTGTAATTTTAAGGCACGCAAACCTTTAAATTTTGGTAAGATGTTACCAAAAACTTCACCAACAAACATTGAGCGCACTTTATGAACAATTCCTTTTGGAATTCCTTCTAGTTTTATGTTTGAAATCTGCAGCACACGACGAATCTCATTGGAGTCCTTGGTCTTAGATTTTGATACATCTTCTGCCAGATCATGCACAAGATCGTGCATCTTGCATGTGGTAATAGTATTACTATGGTGATCCACAGTAACAAGATCTTGAAAAAAAGAGTTCTCCAACAGAATATTGAAATATTGATTTCCTACATCCTCCATCTCTAGATCACTATTGTTGGGAGAAGAGTGAAGCAGTCCTTGAGCCATCCAAAGTTGGATTAAGTCATCACGTTCAATTTCAGAATCTTTGATGAACATTGAGCAGCAGGCAAAACATTGTTTCAAAGTTGGTGATTTCAATTCATCAAAACTCAACTTCAAAACTGATGAGATTCATTTTTCTTCTTCGGGTAAATCCCATATTGTACTTTCTTGAATTACCCGCCAACCATCAATTTCTTTGGACCGCATCATACTTTCCAAAACCTGTTGGTATATGAGTTTGAATCACAATTAAATGATATAAGGCTCTGTTTAGTTATGAGAAACAGTGTTAAGTTGGAGCCTTCGTTTTAATTAAGTATGTATGCTAGAATGGAATGTAAAATAGAAAGAACTCCTTATACAATATTT